AATTTATTAATTCAGATTTAACAAATTGGATTTAAACAATTAATACTGCGTGTAATTTTGTATCATTGTTTTCTTAAACAATTCAGACTATTTCCATACATTTAACATACCTGGTTTCCTCAGGCCGGTCAGATGTCTGGCAGGATAGACCCCCCAGCCTAGCAAGCAGAAACTTTCTAAGCACTTAAACAACACTTAAAAATTCATTAAAGCTGCAAATGTGATAAATTATCTTAAATTCTCCCATTCCTTTTACAATCTGAATGCTATTTTCAAATCTTTTATCTTAAAAATCTCAAGTCAGAAATCAGTACTCATTTAAAATAGAAATCACAAGACTGTTTTTCAAATTCTCTAATATGTCATACAGTCTTTTAAATATTACAGTCATACAGAGATGATCCCAGTGATCAGAGAACTTTCCTTCTAAAGTTAAGTATTAATATTAGGATTTACTTCCTCATCTCTCTTCATCTTTTTAAACCCTCCCAGGATTTAAAGGCATCACTCCCAACTAAGAGCAGCGGGTTGATCATCTCGGGTGGGTCCAGGATTATCCTATGATTTTTCTAGGTCATATTCAAGCCCATGAGGCAGGGATGGTTAGCTCATATTCCAGAAAGATCACACCAGAGCCATAGCTGAAAACACTGTCGTTCTCCCTGCTACGTCATTGGGGTCCCTCAGGCCTCTGAGCTGGAATTTCATTTCACCACACAGTAAACACACATTCTCTGGGTTTCTTTCATGTTTCCCTTATAATCAGTTTTTGTAACCTCTTTCAACATTTATTGCCTGACCTGGGTCAATGGACCTTTGTACCCCATACCAGGTTGTACCTAATTTCCTCTACCACTTGATTGGACTCAACTAATGTCCTTGCTGCCTGAATGGGTTCTGCATGCTTTTCATATTTTTCCTGTCTGACTCTGGGCCACATGTCTGGAGTCATTTACAAACAAATTGCAGTTTCCCTTTAGTTAGCATGGGTGTACCAAGTGGTAAAAAACTAAGCAAACCAGTTTTAAGCAAAAGAAAGCAATGTATTAGTTCTCACAATTTGGTCTCCCAGGGGTGCTCTGCTTTAGGTACAGCTGGGCGCAGGCGCCCACACGGTGCCATGCTGCTGGACTCTGCGTCCCCCTGCTAACTGCCGCTCAGGCCACCGAGGGTGAAGTGACTGCTGACAGCTCTGGGCCTCAATTGCGCTTTTTCCAGAGTGGTGTCTTTTCTCAGCATCTCCTGTGTGGCCCTTTAAGTTTGGGAGATACCATTACAGGCGATACGAACGAGATCGTTGCAGGGCTTCACAACCGCTGTGACGTATGTGTACAGCGTGAATGCCTACGAGGGGCACAGAAGAACCAGCGTACCCCACGTGCCCTCATTAGGGCGGCGGCGTTATCACCCAGCAACACCTCACGGAACCAGTTTTCCTTACAAAACTTCTTGGGTCTCACTGACCTAATCCTGGTGGCTTCATGACCATTTATACCCTGAGTTTTGGGGGGAAAGACAAGTGGAAACTAAGTGGTTTTATATCTACGTAGACTTGGCAGTATCCCCAAAGATGCGGAAGTGAAGGAGATGTGACTGGTTCTCCGAGTGTGGGGACAGCTCTGATTTCTAGCACAGGGGTAGCTTAGGGGACACCGAAGCCACCCTTGCTCAGGATGGGACTCCCTTGGGGTCACTGGTTCCCCCACTCCCACTCTTCTCTGCGGCAGATCACTGGCTTCCCCCCTTCAGGGCCAGCTCAGTTACAAGGATTTCCTGTGAACTCAGGATAAGCCTCACGAAGCTCTGGGCACCAAGGGGAGCGATCGCGTGTGATCAGTGCCCCGTGCGCCACCGGAATCACAGCCTGGTGTTGAAAGGCCACGGGGAAGAGCGGGTACAATTTCAAAGCAAAAAGTCCGGGGTTGGGTCCATGGGCATCTGTTACTAACTTCCATCCTTCCTCCCCACCAGTCCTCCTCCTCCATCGCTCACAGGAAATTTTAGCTACGTTAAATTCCCCCCTCTAGAGAGCCGATGCAACTAAACCCTCGTGGGATTTTCATTTAACCGCAAGAGGAGATTGGAGTCCTTTTCTATCTGTTATGTCATGCTCTCCCCAGCCTCGGTGGTATCACCCATGTGCCGCCCCCCAAGGAAACTGAGGCACAGAGTTGTGACTTGTCAGAGAATGAAGTGAGGGAGCTGGGCTCCAAATCCAGTGCTGGTGGCAATTTTGCTTCAGCACATGCCCCCCCCCCCCCCCCGATCTCTTCTGCACATGAGTCCCCTCAGAAGGCGTTGAATAAGCACAAACTCTGTGCCTGGAGATGGAGGAGAGGTGACCACAAAGTGAGGCTGACCTTGCTGCAGCACCGCCCTGCAGGTGGTGGCAGGGGAAGAGGTGGGCTTGGGGTCAGGTAGCGTTTCGCTCCCAGTTCTGCCCTACATTTGCAGAGCAGCCTTGGACGAGGATCCTCGCTGCCTCTGCGTATGTAGAAGAGTTGGTGAGAATATGTGAAATGTTGGAGAGTTGGCATGTGGCAGGTTCTCAGTGGCTGGCCATTGTTGTGGAAGGCAGCATGATCCAGATCGGGAGGCATGCATGTTCTAAAATTAGACAATCTTGCATTTTAAACCCAATTCCAGCGCTGACTGAAAAATGACTGGTCAAGATACTTGTTCTTTCAGCCTTGATTTCTTCATCTGTAAAGTGGGAAGGATAAGAACTACCATGCAGGAATGATACGAGGGTTGGAGACATGTATAATATATTTACAGTATCCAGCACAATGCCTGATGTAATGGCATGCACTTAGCTGCTGTCTCCAGGCAGGCCCCTGTGCATATTTGGAAGGTAGGGCAGACCTTTCTGTAGGGAAAAGCTAGAAAATTGTGTAAGTATATAGAACGAATCCAATGTGTAAGACCATGGAGTTCGGGGCACAGGGCGGTTAGGGTGGGATCGAGGGTTTGGAGCCAGATGGAGGCCGGGCCAAAGCAGTGGAATCACAGGAACGAAGTTTGCTAAGACCCTGGAGCCTGGGACCTTCTGGACCTGGTGACTTCATCCACAGTAAGCTCCCTTCTGAGCCCCTAGGCTTCCTGCCTTTATTCTCCCTGCTCGGGAACCAGTTAGACATTTCCCCTCATTTCTGTGGGACCCTCCAGGTGGACTTTTGGAAGCCAAAGAGCAGTGCTGAAGGGAAAGGTGATGAAAACAGGTTTTCACTAAGCCTTTGTCATCCTACCTGATCCGCAGAGCTCAGGCAGGCATCTTATAAGCACAAACTAGAACTTCTTTTGAGTTACTAGGGGGCGGGCCTCCTCCGCCCAGCATTTCTGCGGCATCAGACTGCCGTTTCACAGGCAAGACGGGGTGGAAGGCTGAGTGGCGGGGTGAAGCCATTAAGTCAATGCTTCGTTATCAGACAGCCCCAGGAGTAGAAACTGGCCTCCCCAGTCCCGCCGCGTGATGGGGAACCTGGTGCCTCGCCTTGCAAGCCTTGGCTTCCTCCTGGGAAGTGAGCCGTGTCGTGTCCCCATGTGCACCAAACGTGGACATAAAGAATGCCATCTGACATCACGGGAAAAAGGGTGACTCTAGAGTTATAATAGCTGGATCCAGATCCTGTTCCACCTCTTACTAGTGCTCTGGCCTTTCTAAGCCTCAGTTTCTCCACCTATACAATAGAAAAACAATAGTACTTAGCTGTTTCCTCTAGGTCAAGTAGAGCAGTGTTGGACGCTTAGTGTACGGCCCCATGAGTTTAAATCACCTGCTATGTACCTGCCACCTTGAAGCCAAACAAAGGAGAAAATGCAGCAGGCTTGATGGGGAGGGGGAGGGGTGGCACTGCACATAGAGAGACCAGGGAACAGAGCCTTTCTGAGGGGTGACACTTGAGGTGAGAAGGAGGCAGGGACAAGTATCCAGGAAGCGGGATAACTACTAGAAAGCCCCGTTGGCTTAGGAGGAACAGAAGCCCCTGTGACCGGAGCCAGTGACCCATGGAGAGGCTGGCGAGAGACGGGACTCAAGAGGGAGGCAAGAGGGAGGCGGATCAGAGGGTCCTGAGGGCCAGAGTAAGGAGTTCGGGTTTTAAGTACGCGAGAAACCACAGGAGGGTCTTAGCAGCGGAGCAGCAGGATCTGATTTGTGTTTCAGATAAGGCTGCTGTGGGGTGAATGGGCTGGTTTGGCAGTGGAGCCCGGAGCCCTGCTGACCTGCTGGCCATCACCCAAGCAGAGTTGATAGCAGCTTGAACTGGGGGGTGGCAGGTGCACGTTGGGACGCGTATTGCAAGTTGAGATGGCAGGACCAGGAGGTGGATTTAAATGTCTTGGTGGTGTTGGGAGATGGTAAGGAGGCAAAAGAAGAATCATTGCCCAGAGACTTAACTTGAGGGGATGGTGGGGAGGGGGTTTCACAGTGGATTTGAGAGCCGGGAAATGAAGCATTCTATTTTAGATGCATCCTTGGATATTGGTAGAGTTAGAGCTACCAATAGCGTTGGCAGGTCCCTGCTGCCTTTGCAGCTTTCATTTCCTTGGCATTTCATCCAGAAGTGGAGTCTAGCCCATTCGTACTGCACTGAGAATTCTCTCTCCTTACTGTGACCCCCAAGGAGGGTGCCGCTGCTGAATCTCTCTCTGCACCACTTGCAGCTCTCATCTCCAAAGGCACGGCTCCTGCTCAGCCGCGAGGCCTGGGAAGTACCCATGGACTTTATAAAGTCCCCGGGATGAAGTTGAGGATGAGAAGGATGGGATAGGAAGCAGGTAGTGTGGGAAGCACCGGGCCTTATGGGGAAGATCTGTATCAGCCCCTTGCCCCAGCTTCCAGTCCAAACAAGGATGACGGCGCCCGTGAGGATGCGTCATGTCAGTCTCGGGCTTCATGACACAGGGAGCCTCCAGGGATGGGGTGCATTTGTCTGTACCGTCAGCCTGAGCTGGCACTGCATGCGGTTCTGGTACTCAGGATGTGTTTGTCTTGGCAGCTGGGATGACAGCAGCTCCGTCAGCAGCGGGATCAGCGACACCATAGACAACCTCAGCACTGATGACATCAACACCAGCTCCTCTATCAGTTCCTATGCCAACACACCTGCCTCCTCTCGCAAAAACCTGGATGTACAGGTAAGGCACAGGGTCCGTCCCAGCTTCCGCCAAAGGCCCTGCCAGCAGAGAGCCTTGGGCTTGGGGGCCCAGGGGGCCGTTCGGGGCGAGCAGCATCCACAGGTCCATGAGGTGAGGCCCAGCCTCCTGCCTGCGGCCCATCCTTTTGTCCTCTGACCGTGGCCTCTGCCTGTAGGGAAAGGGGGTCAGGCAGCAGGGCCCTGGGAGTGGGAGTGGGGCAGCCTCGCCACCCTCCCTGGCGGCCTTGGTAAAATCATGTTCCCTTCCTGGGCCTCAGTTTCATAATTTTTTTTTTTAATGGGATGCTGGGCTCAGTTGGCCGTTCCTACCCTGGAGTGCGTGCCCCCCCCTTTGCCATCACGGGCACGTGGCTAATTCCTCAGGAGCGATGGGGTGGGGACAAAGATTGGGAGCCCTGGATGGGGAGACCAGTATGTCACATCCTCCTGACAATGTGTTTTATTTGGCCCATGGCGTGATTGTTCTTTTTAACTGGATTCCATGTCAAATTTTATAAATTGTATTATTTTACATGAAAATGAATTTCTGGTTTCTCTTGGGGGAAAAAACCCAGGAGATATTGTCTCCTTGAACCTACCTTCTCCAAATGTCAGCAGTCAGTGATGTCCAGGTGCTTGCCCCTTCGGACAGGGCCCCGTGCCTCAGGGTGCACAGCTGCCTTACGCTGGGACGCTTGAGTTTTCAACCCCTATTTTAAACTCTCAGATTTTATGTTTTGACTGTAGTGCTACATATTTTCTTTCAAAGGAGTTTCATGGGGGCCCATTCACTTGTCCTCGTGGCATTCCTTAGTGGTCGAAGGGAAAGGTTGGTTCTAATAGTAAACCCATTTTACTAGTGGAAAAGCCAAGTGCCACCCTTGTTACTAGTCCCCAGGTCGGGTCTGACCAGCACAAGGACTGTCAGCCATGGCCCTGACATATGTGGGCTGTCATCTTTTTTATGATGGGTCCCTCCCACCCATGGGAGCCCCTGCCGCAGGTGAACCCATGTGAAGGTCTGATCTGGACTAAGTCTCCCAGAGCAACTTTGTCCGCGGCAGACGGGGGAGCAGAACTGACACGACCCGCTTCGTTCACTCCCTTCCATGTCCACGCATTCCCTTCCACGTTCACTTTCTTTCCCGCTGTTTCTCAGTACAGATAGGAACTGCTTTGTAATCTCTTCGCTTTCAAAGGTTCCCTGTCTTGGAGGACAGGGCTAAGGCAAGGATGTGTCAGAGTGTGGCAGTAACTCTGTCCCGCAGAAATACGTGTTGCCTGACTAGTGGAATATACTAGGTGTTACCCCTGGGTTTGCCTAGGGTTCCTTGAGGTTTCATTTTAGCCAGAATTCCTAAGTATTGTTGGAGAGTGAGTATGGGTTGTGGTGGCGGTTGAGGGGGGTGGGGAACTACCCAAATGAAAGGGGCACAAAGATTGGGGGGGAAAGCTGATAATATTCTATATCTTGATTTCTGAGTGATAGTTCTGTATGTTAAATTGATGAAATTTATTCAAGCTATATACAATTGCGTACTTAGGTATGTGAATGTTATACCTCATTAAAAAGGTTTACAATAAGAAAGGAAAAAACCTAGGCCACACGGCCCCTGAGCGATCGCTGTTTCATTAGACACGAGTTAGAAACACTCAGGTAGCCTGTGCCACTACTACCTACCATTTGCCACATGTCTCGGCGTCCACCACTTCTCCTTTCCTTGTGGACTCTAATTCTTTTCCTGAGATTCATCCTAATGTCATAACATATGTAACAACTGGCTTCCATATGTTCTCAGATACTAAAATGGGGAGCCAAGGAATTGATCACCTGGTGTCTTTATTCAGGGGACAGGCAGGTTATTGGAGGCACTTGAGAGGGATGGAGGGAGGCATCAACAGATCAGTAAATCAATCATTTCTCTTTAGTTACCTGCCAGGTGTAGGTACAAAATAGCTCCTAAGATGCACATTGAGCCAACAAAACACTGTATTGGAATTGCCTGGTCTCTGTTCCCTCTTCACAAAGCCAGAGTTGGAATCTCTTTTCCACATCGATACAGAGTTAACATCTGGGGTAACATCAGAGTTAACAAATGATTTCCTGTCTTACACACTGGAGTTTCGTTTACACCACGGTCCCCTCCTCTTTGACCAGCTCTTTGCTTCCATCTAGCACAGGTCACATCAGAAAAGGTCCAGGAATACAACACAAACATGTCTTCTGATCACAATCAGAAAGTTAATTTCAAGGGACCTAAAGGGTTTAATATTCATTGCATTGTTTTTGCTGTAAGACTACCTGCATTTAAAATATTTAAATAAAATCTAAATAATATTGGAATAAAATGCAGACTTGCATCAGTAGTTTTTAAGATTTCCTATTTGAGATGGTTTCTTTAAATGGATTTTTAGTGGCATCCCTTTGTCGCTGTCCAGGGAGCATCTCCAAATATTTGACTCTGTGCAATGGCAGCCTCCCCCGCGCTGCCCCCCTCCCACCTCCCCTGTACCTCTCGGAGGAATGCTAAGGGCCATTACTCCACTATGATCGGCATCAGTCAATGGGAAGACGTGTGCGGCCACCCTTCCCCAGGGCTCACTCAGGTTGCATCACGTACTGGCTTCTCCTGGATGAACAGGCAGCACACAGTGTCCCAGGTGGGGCATGGAGAGGCAGGAAGAAGTGGCTCAGCCCGTCGCCAGGAAAACAGGTTGAGGACAGGTCACCTGCCTGGGTTTTCATATTTGAAAAGCGTCTGAGGAATAGTCAAAAGGAAGTGCTTCTAAGGAACAAGGAAGGTTAGGGTCTGGAAAGCCGAAGGAGTAGCCTCAATTAGCTGGTGGAAAGAGGAGGAGACGCCAAACGGAGGAGCGATCCTTGGGGGATGGACGTGGCCCCCACCCCCTGCCCGCCGTCTGTAAGTGACTGTCTTCCTCGCGGATGTCGAGGAGCCCTCGTTGAGGCAGACGTGCCCAGATTCGGCATCGGGCAGCCGGGCCCCCTGCTTCTCCACAGAGGGGCAGTCTCCTCTGCTTGAGGCATGACGGCCTCCTGACCGACTTGCCCCGGGAGAGCAGGTGAGCCCAGGTGGGCAGCCAGGCCAGGTCACCCTGTCGGGCCCAAGGTGTGGCCTCTGAAGTCAGGGTTCAGCTCCTCACTCTGTGGCGTCCTTGGGTAAGCTAATCAACCTCTCCAGGCCTCTGCCTGCTCGCCCATAAACTTACAGTAACGGGGTCTGTCTTGAAGGGTGAGTGTGGGGTTGCTGTGGAAATACTCTATCTGAACTCTCTCTTTCGGTGCCCAGCTCTTGGTAGTTGCTCTGGAGTGACCTTGTTTAGTTCCTAATTTCCTCTGGATTACTGTCCTTCTGCCTCTTCCTCCTCCAATCATGTCAGTGATTAAAATTGACTGTACCTAATAGATTTTGTTTGTCATTTCAAAGCAATTCACCTTCTATTTTGCAGCATTTTCTTTTGAGGACAGTGTCGTTGGTGGCAGGGGACTTTAACAAACATACATCTCTGCCCCACATATTTATCTATTTACTCTGTCCTTAGTCATCAAGTATTTCCTCTCAGTTCTCTGGAAGTTTCCATTCCAGGTGCCGAGACACAAAGAGGCATAATTCAAGATTTATTTGCACAGTGTGTAAAATTTTTAACAAAATATACAGGGTGAGGGAAGATAGATAATGCCATGTGCATTTATTCTTTGCTACTCAAGGAAATAAAATCCTGAATTCTCTGGCAAGGATTCCATGACCCCTGTGAGGCCATGAGTCTCTGGACATTCTCTGGATTTTGGTCTCGATGAAGGGATAGGGTTTGGTGTGGGGCCAGGAGGGGCACTGCTTCTGCCCATTTGCTTGGTTGCTGCTGCTTGTGACTTTAGGCAGGGTACTTTCGCTCTTTGCACCTGGTCTGTGAAATATGGTTGGTACGGGCTCAGCGGACTGAGTGAGCTAATAATGTATGCGGAGGGATGCAGAACCCCTCAAGAAGAGTGGCAGGTGATGATGATAGTGCTGGTCATTTTTCTGCTGTGACTGGGCTCAGACTTCAGCCAGATCAGCCTCTGGATCTGCAGGGGATGTGGGCGTGAAAAGGGCGCGCCCTTGACTTCCAGAGGCTTATGGCCCAATAGCGGGAAAGACAAGTACCCATTTCACACTAATGCAAGACAAAAATGGTATAAATGCTAAAGTGCTGGGGGTTTTCAGAGGTGAGAGGGTTTATTGAGTCCCTCCACGGATAGCTCATCGAGTGTACTCTCAAGCAGCTCTCTAGGACACCCATCTATTACCACCCCCGTTTGGTATACAAGATGATGATCTCGGCGAAGTTAAGCCACCCCTCCAGGGTCACACACACAGCAAAGGAGGGGCAGCACCCCGTACTTGATCTAACGTCTGCCAGACACCAGGCCCACGTTTTTCCCCCTACATCATGCCATGCGGCCCCTGAGGAACTGGGGCCTTCTGTCTTGAACTCTCCAGTCTTCCAGGCCCTCTCCTCTCTCCTGTATGGCTATTCCCCCACCTCTCTCGTGGATGTTGAATGAGTAGGTGGACTTCCAGGTCGGGGCAGTGGGAAAATCATTTCAAAATTATGTGCCGTATGAGATGGGAAGAGCTGACAGAGGCATCGAGGGCCAAGGGGAGGGTACAGCTCTGTGCAGCCTCATGTGGCTATCCTGCTGGCCTTGTGCTATAAGCCCGGGGAGCAGAGACGTGGGGACCTTTTCACCTTTTGATCCCTGGTGGTGCCCAAATGTTCTGGTGCATGGCTCCAGAAGGGTTTGCTGAAGAGACAGGAACGTAAAGCCAGGAATGTCCCAGGCAGGTGCGCACTGGGCAGGCTGCCGCCCTGGACCAAGTTGTGTGGGTGTAATGGTGGGGTCCTTGTTCTCTCCGGAGGGGGATGCAAGCCACAGTCCTGAGCCAGGGCCACGTGTGCTTCCTCTACCACTAGTAGAGTTGGGGCTCCAGGGGTCCCACCCCGAGGCTGGGCTGGAGCCGTGCTGGGGTTGGAGTTATGGAACAACCAGCCAGCCAACATGGAAGGAACATCTACTGGGTGCTGGGATTGTGTTGGGAGCCACTGTGCAGGCCAAAATGTCTCATTGTCCTTGGACTTATTCCCAGGAAGGCAGCATGGCATAAAGTGGATACAATGTGGGACCCCCCCCCCCCGGAACACTTGCATCTCCACTTCCTTACTCTGTGATCTTGGACACTTTTTTTCCCCACTCTGTATGCCTCAGTTTTCTCATGTAAAATTGAGATGATGAACTTCCTCAGAGAGGATTAAATTAAGTGGTAACAGGCAAAGCACTTTAGCCCAGTGCCTGACACATAGTAAGTACTTAATAAATTGTATGGTTACTGTTACTGCAATTAGCACCACTGCAATTGGGGGTTGGGGGCAAGGGGAACAAGGTATAGGAATGAATCAAAAGAATGTATGCAGTCCCCAGGGAGCGGTATGTGTTCAGTTTTCAGTACGTCTTAGAGTGCATTAGAAAGTGTTACAGTGTACTTGGACAACATACTAATGATTTGTACTTTGTTCTTGTTCACTGTGGTATCTCCAGCGCCCCAAAGCTTGCCTGGCAGATAGTGGCCCCTGATAGATGTTGGTTGGGTGATTGCTTCCTAAGCCACGCCCTTGCCCGCCTTTGGCCTTGGAGCAAGCTCTTCCCTAAACTCGTAATACGTTTCTTCTCATTCTTTACAGCGCTTCTCCAAAAAAGCCTCACCTCGCCACTGTCCCCACCCCCATCGTCACAATCTAACTTACGTCAATGCCTGTTTTTCTCTCCGGCTCCTTGTCCTTTTCCTTCTAACATTCCTATAATTCCCAATTATGTATTTGTATTTATTTATCCAATCTCTGCCTCTTTCACTGGATCGTAAACTCCAGGAGTGGTGGGAACCAATCTTACCTGCCGATCCCTAGGTCCCCCCGTGAGCCTCGCAAACAGCGGGCATTCAGGAAATCCTGCCCTGACCAGGGGTCGAACCAGCAACCATTCGCTTTGCGGGACAGCTCTCAACCAAATGAGCCACACCGGTTAGGGCAGGAGTGGGTAGCTTTTATGTCCACTTACCTGTAAAACTGAGGTGAAGGCAGTACTACTACCTACTCATTACCCTATGTGACTGGGTGGTGTCTGGGCCCGGATGGCATCCTTGTGTTAAATATGCTGTAGCTGGAAAAGCATGTGCCCATTTGTTCACTCACTCACTCACCAGGCCTTGCCGGAGCTCCTGCTCTGCACTCAGACGTAGGCAGTCCTTTTCCTGTGTCCCTCGCCACGCCTGAACAGTGGGCTTCCTATGGCTGGCAAGTGCTTTTGTCTCTCCACAACTCTGGTTGTGCCTAGTACCTGGCGGGAACTCAGTGTGTGTGTGAGGAACGGCCGAACAAATGCAGGCACTCGTGAGGTGGCGATCGTGGATGAGCGGGATTCCTGAGGTCGAAGGGGTTGAGAGAAGAACAGTCCATGGTGGCAACAGAGGAACAGCCGATCTTGGGCTGCTTGTCTGTGTTTAGGTTTTATCGCACGAAGCCAGGTACTTCGTGGAGGACGGTGTTCATACTACTCTTGGATAACAGGCGTTAGGCCAGATTCTGGCCAGGCGATCATTTTGATTTCCTACCCTGCTGATGATGGCCACTCTAGGTAGTTAAGTAAGGGACTTACATCTTAGTACAGCCACTCTGAAACATTGCCGACCTCCCTTCCCCATTCTCTGCATGGCTTCTCTGCCCCCCTGGCATCTCCTTGGGCTCCCCCTCCCACCGCCCCCCGCCTTAGGGAGGCCCCCGAGGCATTCTGGTTAGCTTCTGCCTTTTCACTGCAGCAAATCATTAACATCACACTTCTGTCCCCTCCTGGGTTCCATGGCCAGCAGGTCAGGGCTCTTCCAAAGAAAGCTGGCTAATTATATGCCTCCTCTGAACAAAATCCCACAAGAGGAGCAAAGCAGTGCGGCACATAAACAGTGCTGGGGTAGGAGCAGGCACCCGCTGGCTTTTCGCATGGGGGGAAGTGGCTTTTGAGGATGTGTGTTCCTCTCAGCCCCTCTCTCTCCCTGAGAGTGGAACTAGCAGCCACCCCCACTTGCTCACTCACTGGCTCCCAGTGTTAGACCGTGCCGCTGCGCTAGATCCTAAGATCTTGCTGCCAGTGGAGTGATAGGGAGACGGAAGAACAAAGGAAGAGGGGCGGGAGGCTGGATGCTGGCTAGAGATCAGGCTGCCTGAGTTAGAAGGGGTTTGTCGCCAAGTGGTAGAGAGTTGGTGGCTGAATTCTTGCCACATCTCCCGTCTACTCACGGTTCTCCATGGGGCTCCTTCCCTCTTTTTCCTCTGGCCCCTTTTACTCTTCTCCCTTACTCCCTTCAAGGACACAGTTATATTCTTTACTTTCCTTGGACCCACAAAATCAGGCTTTCTGATAGTATAACCAGAGTACAAAGGCCTGAATGTTTTCAAGTAATTAGTTATCGTTTCTCTCTTAATTCGTCCAGTGTATTGGCATTTTGGCTCTGTGGTGGGGGTCTCCCTAACCTGGAGTTTGGGAGGGGCTCATTCCCGGTCTCACCCACAGACGGATGCGGAGAAGCACTCCCAGGTGGAGAGGAATTCCCTCTGGTCGGGCGATGATGTCAAGAAGTCCGACGGAGGGTCAGACAGCGGCATAAAGATGGAGCCGGGGTCGAAGTGGAGGCGGAATCCCTCGGACGTGTCTGATGAGTCCGACAAAAGCACATCGGGCAAGAAGAACCCCGTCATCTCCCAGACAGGCTCATGGCGACGAGGCATGACCGCTCAGGTGGGCATTACTGTGCCGAGGACGAAGCCGGCTGCCCCGGCGGGCACACTGAAGGCCCCAGGAACAGGTGAGAGGCAATGCCGTCTTACATCCACAGGTGTCAGTTTCAAAAGCAAAACCATAGTCTCTAGCAAGGAATTGGGTTTTTTTGGCGGGGGGCGGGGGGTAAGTCCTGTAAGTACTCGGGTATTTGTTCTTAGGGTGTAGACTCTGCTAATAACCAGCTTTCAGAGAAGTTCGCATCTTCCTTTTTCCATGTGGAAATATTTGTGAAAGTTTTTAAAGCCTGAAGACGGTCCCTGCTGAGGCCGTATTAAACCGGGGTAACCGTGTGCTGGGTAAGAGCTGACTCTCGAGGAAATGTGTTTATAAGCTGTTGGTACGTCGAGTTGATGTTGTCTGTGATTCAGGAATGTGTGTAAACAGGGGAAGTGTTTTTGCAGGAAGTCATGGGTTCCCCCTGTAAATGTTAGGAACGTCTTTTCAATGGACAGAGGGAGAAAGTTCAGTAAAAGTCAGATCTCTTCCCCAGACATGTCAGTGATTGGCTGGCTTTGCTTTATTCTGGGTAAATTTAGACTGCTTTGCAAATGAGTAAAATCATTGACATCTAAAAGGCTCACAGTGACAGTAGTAGGCTAGATTGTCTTTATGAAAAGCTCTTTCCTCTGCCTCCCAAGGGTCCTGCTCTCCCCACGGAGAATGTGAACCAGTTCTTGGGAGGAGGGGAGGATTTTAAACAGACTGAACTGGATGAGCTGGCTTCTTGGTTTGCAGGTTAACCATGCCCATTTCTCTCTTAGGGAAAACCGACGACGCAAAGGTGTCCGAGAAAGGGAGACTGTCCCCCAAAGCCTCCCAGGTGAAGCGCTCGCCCTCAGACGCAGGCCGCAGCAGTGGTGACGAGTCCAAAAAGCCCCTCCCCGGCAGCTCCCGGACGCCCACGGCCAATGCCAACAGCTTCGGGTTCAAGAAGCAGAGTGGCTCGGCGGCCGGCCTGGCCATGATCACAGCCAGTGGGGCCACTGTCACCAGCAGGTCAGCCACACTGGGCAAAATCCCAAAGTCGTCTGCGCTCGTCGGTCGCTCCACTGGTCGGAAGACGAGCATGGACGGGGCTCAGAATCAGGACGATGGGTACCTGTCTCTCAGCTCCCGGACCAACCTGCAGTACCGGAGTTTGCCACGGCCCAGTAAGTCCACCAGCCGCAATGGGGCTGGGAACAGATCTAGTACTAGCAGCATAGATTCCAACATCAGCAGCAAGTCAGCAGGCCTACCGGTGCCCAAGCTGAGGGAGCCTTCCAAAACGGCCCTCGGGAGCTCTCTGCCAGGCCTGGTCAACCAGACAGATAAGGAGAAAGGCATCTCGTCGGACAACGAGAGCGTGGCTTCCTGTAACTCCGTGAAGGTGAACCCGGCAGCCCAGCCTGTGTCCAGTGCGGCTCAGGCCTCTCTCCAGCCAGGGGCCAAGTACCCCGATGTGGCCTCCCCCACGCTCCGCAGGTAAGCGGGTAAATGGCACTGAGCAGAACCAGAATATAAGGAATAGTGTCCTGGATTATTAGTAATTTCCTGTGTCTTAGCTAAAGCAGCCTTTGTTTTCTCCCCTTTAGTCCTGGGATAATGTGGTTTGGTCAGATGCTGGCAGCAATTTTGCAGTCACCTCATTATTTTTCCATGTTAGGATGAAAATCGTAAGCCTCTGTAATCAGTCATCCTGAGTACAAATGTCGGGTTCACCTTAATTAGCCACCATGTAGACTTTCTTAAGTTATGTCTCAGTTTTCTCATCTGTAAAATGGGGATACGGCTCCCTACCTGAGAGTTTCTGTGAAGATTAATCTGTGAAGCTATGTCTGGCCCTTAGTAAGTAGTCAGTAACAGTTAGCTACCATCCAGAGCTGGATAGGTAGCTCAGGGAAAGCAGACAATTTTTTTTCTTGTTTTGTTAATTCTATGGCTGCAATTCCTCAACATTATGCTAGACAGTGATCTTGGCCAGAACCTCTTATCAGAGAGTCCAGTATTCTCTGCATACTTATTTATAACTACATGCATAATTACAAATTAGTCTCTGAAATGTTAGCTTCCTTTAAAAAAAAATGCTCTTAAAGCAGAATTGTTTCTGAAAAAGAGAAATTGATTTGCTATTACCTTTAAAAAAGCATTTTCTCACATTTCCATACTGGGTGGAAATTTTTGGATGAAAATATTATTTTCTGTTTTTTCTTAAACTTCCTTTTAAATTTCTACAGCTTTTGCCTGTTTGTAGTATCTCATTATAATATCCATATCCACTGGACCATTCTCAAACTGCTTGTGCACAGGACAGAGCTTATTCTAGCTTTTCAGGAAATTTCTTGTCATAGGAAAGAGTAAGTCCAAGGATAGCAAACCACACAGAGAAAAAAATAAAAATTATGTGCACATGTACATATTTGGGGATGAATCGGAATGTTTGAAGAGACTTCAGAAGAAGCATTCCACATGAAAGGTGTAATGAAGCAGTTCACTGTTCTTTGTCTAGACTTGATTATTAGAATTTCAGTAATAATTATTTTTTCAGGAGAAGGTCCTATTGGGCTGTTCTTTGTTGTTTTACCAGATTGCCTTGTAAATGAGAATTTTCTCCGCTTCTTGCCTCAAGTATTACATGTAATATTCACTCTTTGGTATTATAGATTTCCTTCAGAACTACAAAGGCATTTTATTAGACCCTTAGGCTAGTGTAATAGAATACTTGAAAATGCACACGTTTTCTTCGGTTCTACATTGAACACCTTTCACACAATTCCTGACGATTACATTTTTACTAAATGGTTAAGGTGTTTTTATAATGCTTTAGTGTGGAGAAGATAGATCTTAGGTGAAGTGTGATAACTCTCAACAAAATAGGTGGGTGTTTTCTGTGTCTTTACACTTAGCAGGATTAGGAGCAATGAGTAAAAGTGAAGAAGATGGATCAGATTTTGGTTTTCTAATTGAAAGTGCTAGGCACTGGGGTGAGTTACCCCTTGAAGTAGTGAGGTCCTCAGTACTGGAGGGGTGTAAGTGTTCTAAAGCCAAAATCCAATAATCGGTGTTTCATCCTCTGATTGTCACCAGGCAAAAGAGTTTCTCATCTGTCACCAAATATTGTAATGAGGACTGATTATGTGGTCGGTTGGTTGGTTGGTTGTCTTTTACAATAAGTGAGATTTGTAAGGACTGTTTGGAGAAGACAGATCAAACACACCACCAAGCAACTTGGGGAAAGGTCACCTGCCTATCAGTGTTTTCGCCACTTTGCAGAGATACCCGTCCACCAGAGTTTCAGTGAACGGAATTACTCGCATTACTAGAACAGGTGCTGCCCCTGACTGTAAGACAGTCCAGCCGCGCGACCAGTATCCTTTTGCCAATGGAAGAGGGAGGCGTTTGTGCCATTTCCTGGATTATGACAGCATGCTTTTTGGTCATGAGCACAGGGGATGACATGGAATGGCATTTCTGTGTCTCTGTCACAGAGACACCGTTCACACCGTGTGCCTGATCTAATGTCTTGTGAACTCAGCAAGGTTTCTGCGCACATCAATGGGTCGTACTAGCCCTCTGGCTCAGAGACATACCTTTCAGGTAGGCCTTTCACTAGAGGATAAATCTGCGAAGATACTTTCCCCAGGCCTCATCCAGATCTAGACTCAGGTTCTTGGTTCTACTTAGGCTTAGAGGTCAAATCAGCCAGATGCCCAGAGTTGAACCATCATAAACTGAGTGCCTGCTTTTGTGCCTGGAGTCATGGATACAAAGATGATGAAGACAGCTCTTTTTCTTCTAGATGTTTCCTGGGCCAGGGCTATTTTCTAGTTACTTTGTTCACGGAAAGAAAGGGAAGCAAGATCTTGTCCCAGCATGGGTAGTCCTGTAGAAAATTAGTCCCCATTGCCCTTTGGCTCAGACAGAGCCAGCGTCTCAGCTGCAGTGTAGAACCGGAGCTGGAACCTGTCATGCACCGGTGACCCAGTAGCCTGTCTCAGTGGTAGCCATTTCAGGAGAAATGACTGTGCCTTCCCCCGGGGACTCCCGTGACTAGGCACTCCAATACCTGTGCCCCACCTTACTAAACAGCTGGGTTCTGGGAGTTCAACCCAAACAACCCTTTGTCTCTTCACAGACTCTTTGGTGGGAAGCCTAGCAAGCAAGTGCCCATCGCCACAGCTGAAAACATGAAAAATTCGGTGGTCATCTCCAATCCTCATGCCACCTTGACCCAGCCAGGTAACTTAGAGTCCCCCTCAGGCAGCGGCGTCCTGAGCAGCGGGAGCAGCAGTCCTCTCTACAGTAAGAATGTGGATATCAACCAGTCTCCTCTAGCCTCCAGCCCCAGCTCAGCGCACTCGGGCCCCTCCAACAGCCTCACCTGGGGCACCAATGCCAGCAGCTCCTCAGCAGTTAGCAAGGACGGCCTGGGCTTCCAGTCCGTCAGCAGCCTCCACACCAGTTGCGAGTCCATTGACATCTCCCTCAGCAGTGGAGGGGGCCTGAGTCACAATTCCTCCACGGGCCTCATCGCCTCCTCTAAGGACGACTCCCTGACTCCCTTTGTGAGAACCAACAGTGTGAAGACCACACTGTCAGAAAGGTTGGTGATGTGCATTTGGCTGCCTGTATCCCTCAGAAAGACACCCTTTCAAGAGACAAAGGAGTATGTTAGGAATCCCAAATGTCAATTCACCTTTGCCCGGGAGATTTCTTTCTTTCTTATCACCAATGTCTTTCATAAGAAAGCCAGTTTGGGATGGAATGAAGCTCAGTTCTCTGCTTCCTGTTACCTTTTTCATCCAGGTTATTCTCAGCGCTTGGAGCTGCTGGAAGGCTCTTGGGGGCAGATTTAATGCATCCATTTGAAACGGCATTCCGCCTTTGAAATCCTTCCATTTTATTCTGCTTGTTCATCAGTTGGCTTCTTTCCCCTCCCCTGTAATTCGGCAGAGTGGGCGGCCGGCTACAGCCCTGGGTGTGTGGTAGGATGTCCCTTAGGCAGTGGGGCCAATTTGGTGGTCATCATGGCAAACACCCTCCCCCTGAATGGCTGCTGGCCAGTGACAGGAAATCAAGAAACCTAAAGCATGCCCAGAGCTCCGGATTTCACTGCAGAAGTGATGTGTCCTTTGTCTCCCCGAAAGGGAAGCAAGCAAGCCAGGATCAGCACTGGGAATGAGAAAAGTCACTGTATTTTACAACTCCCCCCAACCCCGTTTCTTCCAATCTAATGTTCCTTCTCTTGTTTTCTACCTGCCTGGACTTCTAGCCCTCTCTCTTCCCCTGCCGCTAGCCCTAAGTTCTGCAGAAGTACTTTGCCCAGGAAACAGGACAGGTAATACATTGCAGGCCGGAGACCCCCACCGAGCCTCTAGGTTCCTCTGCCCATCTGTGTCAAGCCAAGATGTTTTTTCGTGTGAGGCTGTTGGCCTGAGGCTTCCGCTTGTGTTCGTGGCTCCGGTGTAGTACGTGACCCCCAAGACATGCCAGTGAGGGTCTGTTCCGCTGTCCAATGAAGCCCCCAGAGAGGTGGGGTTGGGCGGGCCCCTCCCATCCTGGCTTGGGAAGGAACCTCAAACCTGCCACTTGAACTGGGGCGGCAGAAGCTCTCACTTGCATCTCAGCCTTCCTGTGGCATGCTCCTGCTTCCCACCCTTTCCCCCTCCTCCCTCCCCTCCCCCTCCAAGCCCAGAAATGATCTGCCACCCACCGAGCAGCTTGGCCCTCACCTTTGTCTCCCACTCCCTCCACTCCCCACGCAGCTGGCTCTTCTCCCTTTAAAGGCCTTCGCTGCAGTTTGGCCCCTTATGTTTTCAGGCTGCTGTGTTCTGTGTGCCCATTTCCTGAAATGATAATGCAAAAGAGTATGTGGGGCGTTGAGACTTTATAAATGAAGAGGCTTGTTTGCCCCCAGCTGTCCTGTGGGTGGGCCTCAGAGATGGATATTGACCTGAAATTTGTGGGGGAGCCGTGGCTTGGCCAAACATAACAAGCAGATGTTGTTTCATGGTAGAAAAAAAAAATTAATGAAAACCCTCTTCACCCCATCAACAGCAAAACCTTTGTTTTTGTCAGACTCACAGACCAAGCCTTTAAAACCCTTGTTCTCTGGAAATCCAAATGCCTTGACTTTATCAGCCCGCAAGTTGTGGCATGCCCGGACACGGGCCCTGGGCTCGGCTCTCAGCTACATCCGATACGGACTGCAGAAACTGAGAGGGGCCCGGAATTCACTTACCAATTCCAAATATGCAGACTGCAGGCCTCTTGAAACTCTCCAACACGTCCCTTGTCTCACTTGAAGTCACCGCCAGTGGCACTGGGGTGGCCCAGAGTTAGTGGTGCAGAGAAGCTGGCCTCTCTCTCTCTCTCCGGGAAGCAGCGGTGATGGTGCAGAGATGGGCGACGGGGCGGCGGCAGGCACGGGCTCTGCCTCAAGGTGCGGCAGCCCCTGAGTTTGGCTTTGAGCCTGTGGGGTACAGTGTCAGCGTAGGCCGAGGAGGACGGGGTTTCTCTGGCTTCCCTTGGACGGGCTGCATGCTCCACTGGATACAGGGCCCTCCCGGTGAAGTGAGTCTCTCTCCCCAGCTCTCTTCAGCCCCTTCTTAGCCTTTCCCTCCTCACATCGCCTGCTTTTTCTGTGCTTCTCTGAAGTTCTCATTTTTGTTTTAACTTCCCTACAGTGACCCGCACCTTGATAGGAACACTTTGCCTAAGAAAGGACTCAGGTATCTGTGTTTCCTCCTTGCATCCATGCCCTGTGGTGTGGCTTTGGGGCTTGGCTGGTGGGGGTTCGGGCTGGGCTGGGCTGGGCTCCCCGCTTTGGCCATCGCAGTAGGACCTTGGGCGACCGCTCCCCTCACACCCTCTCATTCTCATCTGTCCATTTGTTGGCTTATGTGCTTGAGCAGAGGCTGTGCTTTTTCGAGCTTAATGTGGTAAAACCATGTCATGCACCACATCCCTGTGCAAGCCCAGAGAGCAGTTCCTGCTCCTTCTGGGGCCAGTGGATTTCGTCGCTGAGCACGTTGCCATGACCATTCTGTCCGCGGCCTGGCTTCCAAGAGAAAGGATGTGACTTGTAGCACATTGATTTGTTAGCCAGGACAGAGCCAAGGAGGAAGGAAACATTACCTCTGAATTTGAAAATATTTAACTTTTAGCCCATAGAAAATTGCTAAGGACAGATACTTAGCATTCATTTAAATAATAATCAAAAATCACATCGACCCAGCAAGACACTGGTGTGATCCGTTTTGGGGGGAAAGAGAAGACGATGAGGAAGTGATGTCTTTTCCTCTGTTGTAAGTCAAGGCTTGAGCTCATTTTGGGTGCTTGTCCTGGTAAAAGAAGGTGCTATAAGTCACTGTGCCTCACACCGTCTACTTCACTTTGCCAATCAGAGGAACCTCTGTTCTAACGTCTGCCCCATGGTTTAAATGTCTTATGGTTGCAGCTGTCGTTCTCTCTGCTCCCTAAACACCTCCTTCTTTGTAGCATCAGCTTCCCCCTGCACCAAGCATTATGTGCCTTTGCAAAAAATGGGACTTGGAATGAAATGTTTCAACACTGTCATGTATGTCTGTAGTTGATAATCTGTAGCTCGTTAAGGCTGAGAGCATTTTGAACAGTAACGTGAGGTAGGTATCAATGCTTTCTTTCCAAAGGAGCTCTGAGTAAAGCCAATTCTAAGATTCTAAAAATAAAAGTATTGAAACATCTCCCCAGTGTGGTCTTACAAGGGGGAGCTGGCAAGGCCTTTTGTACTGAAGAGTTTCCATCACACTGATGACGGCTGATGTTAGCAACCAGGCGAGATGCGTACCTTTCAGCCACTTTTAATGAGCTAGACGTGCTGGCCTGGCCCACTGTTGCCCCAAGAGGACGTTAACCTCTACATATTAACATTTCAAAATGCTGTATATGTTTCTGGAGCAGATCTATCCTATGAAAATGATGCAGCTCTGGCTTTTTAAATTTGGCTTTAAAAAAATTCAGAATAGGGATGTGCGAGGAGCTGTCTTTAGGCAACTGATGTGACCTAGAGAGTTACATGTCCAACTAGAGTAAAAACATGGAAGGAAGACACGTTCTTATGTTTCCTCTCACTCTGACTTTCCCTTTCTAGCTCCCTCTCTCCATACACACATCCAATACCAACAAACCAACAACAGCTTTTTTTTAAGCCAAAAGAATCCCACTGTTGACGTAATCACTAGCCACCCTTATGGTGATCTGTTTGTTAGTCTAAGGGTTCTCTAGCCACTTGGACGATTTAGAAATTCGAGAAGCTGCCTGTGGGCAGAATCAGAAGGGCATGGACTTTGAAATCATACAAAATAGATAGAAATCTTGGCACATGACTCAAGAAAACATCTGTGAAGGTACTTAGCTCATTGGAGACATTCGATAAATTGTTACCAAATATGCTGCAGGATAAATGAGAAGGTGTATCGACTTCCGTAGAGCCTCCCCTATGGGAAACCCAATGACGTAGGATTCCTTTTACGAAGGCTTGCTTATGCTAGATCACAGCAGCTGCTGTGAGCATTGCTGTCCTCGCACCTTTTCACGTCTGGTTTCTGATACGCTGTGGTTCCCAGCCACTTGCGTGTGTTCTGCAATGCAGATGCTGTGAGTAGTCTCATTAAAACATCCTTGGAACCCTAACAGCAGCTTGTTTTGCTGCTTCAGCCCTGTCAAGGTGGGGGCTTTGACATGACACTGTCGTGAATCAACATGTTACAGATACGCCCCATGACAGCTCTTTTGAGCATTCACCGACCTTGCTCCCCTTTATGTATTCCCTCCAAACTGTAAGGAATTGCAATTTTCCCCAAAGGCAGTCAAGTAGCACCAAAAAAAAAAAAAAAAAAAAAAAGGTTTTGAGAAACTTCTTAAGTTTCGGGATGTGTCGTGATCTGATTTTTTTTTTAACATCAACTTTGGATATCTGATCATTGTCAGCTTCACGGAGTTCGTTTTCATAAGCGTTGATCATAGTTAATCCCAGCTTGATTTCTGTCTGTCCAGGTATACTCCCACCTCCCAGCTTCGCACACAAGAAGACGCAAAAGAATGGTTGCGGTCCCACTCTGCAGGAGGCCTGCAGGACACCGCCACCAGTTCTCCCTTTTCCTCTGGCTCCAGCGTAACTTCTCCCTCCGGAACAAGGTTCAACTTTTCTCAGCTTGGTGAGTAGCTGCTTGTTATTAGCTGTGCTGATCAGCTCCCTAGGACAGAGGTTAGCTTGTATGTGAAAGAGACAGATTGGTCATAGACTCTCAGTATCTGATCAGCCCTCCATAATGTAGGTTGATTAGAGGAGATTAATAACAAAACAACTAGAGAAAGTGGAAAAGTTTTTGGTACTCTAATCAGTAATTTTTCTTTCTGTGGTTGATAGAGGTAGAGCTATAGCAAGAGCTAACCATCCCATTCTTTATTTCTAAGACCTGAAGAAGTAGGTTTTATAGCCTATCCCATGTTTGGTCATCCTCATTGCTTTATTAAGCTAGAAATAAAAATCAAGTTTTGATTGAACATGTATTCTTGGAAGTGCCTACTGCTGACATAATGCTTGGATTGGCACAGCGGGGAAAGGAAAAGAATTTGTAACACAATCCCTGCTGATATGTCAGTGGATTCTTTTTTAGCGTGACAAACACCCAGACAGACTCGTAAATATGGTAAAGGAGAGCAATCCAAAGCTTTATAGGAAGCTGTGTAGAAACTGAAGTATTATTTACAGTTAGAAAAAGGAAAGATCGGTCCTGGCTGGAATTCCAGGAGAAGGGGGCATGAAGGCGGCAGAGTGGGAGCTGAGCCTTGGAAGACTGACGGCGGCGGAGGGAAGAGCTCTTCCAGCCTTGTCTCCATCTTCAGGGAGAGAGGCAGCCTTTCCTGAGTATTGTGAACAATAAACTGAGTCTTTATTTAAAGACAGGTGTGGCTTGTAATCAAGTATGACTTAACTCTTCATTTTGAGTTAACTGCCGGGATACTTCTGAAATAGTGTACTAAAATCACAGGATTTTAATAAGAAAGCTAGTTCCAGCCAAGGTAAATGTGCCCTGTGCGCTGAGGCTCTAGGCACCAGTATGCAGTGTCCCCGTCCGAGGCAGCGCGACCCGTGTTCATGTTCTTTCCCAGCCGTAACTCTTTGAGGCAGGAGTTTCTTGTCATGCACAAATGCTTCCCATCTGATCAAAAGCCCGGTGGGACTATTTTGGGCTTTTGGCTTTAGAGAGAATTGTTCCAGATGAGCCCAGGGAGTAATTAGCTCATGCCTGGAAGGTGACACTAGCTTGTCTGAACGTGCCAAGTTGGAAAGCTGAGGCCCAGAGCCTTGCTTTGGAACTGACCCACCTTTCCTCCCTTATTTTTAGCTCTCAGTGTGTAACGCAAATGCTGAGGTGACTACCTTTGAGAAAGTAGACAAGGGAGAGGAGTTGGCAGGCACGGATGTGGCTGATGATAAGCAGCCTCCTCTTCACCCCCGTCCGGGCTTTGAACAGAGACCTGAATTTCCAGCCCTTTGATTCCATTCCTTTCATTCCAGCGAGCCCCACCACTGTCACCCAGATGAGCCTGTCCAACCCGACCATGCTGAGGACCCACAGCCTCTCCAATGCCGATGGGCAGTATGACCCGTACAGCGACAGCCGCTTCCGGAACAGCTCCATGTCCCTGGATGAGAAGAGCAGGACCATGAGCCGCTCGGGCTCATTCCGGGATGGGTTTGAAGAAGGTAAGCAGGAGCCTGGCCCTCTCCCAGGCCGGGGGTGTAGTTAATACTCTTCTATGCCAGGGTCACTTCACTGACCTAGGGTCTACCTGAAGGTGCTTCCAACTCTCCCGCTTGCTCTAGGGGTCGGACTGGGGAACTGAATAGTGGGGCCTGGGTCTTAGTGAACCTCACAGGACTCTAGGGAAGTGGCTGCTGGAAAAACCTCCAGTGACCTTCGAGCTGGCTGAGTTCCGCTCTAGGCTTCTCTGTTTTGGAGATGGGCCGGAACTTCTTGGCACGCGCCTCCATCTCCGCTCCGATGCCGGCACACCATCTGGGCAGAGCAAGTTCCTGGAGAGTTCATTTCCCTGGGCGGACGCACCCGTACGGCTCTGGGGGGCTGTGGGCAGCGGTGCCTCTCCGCTTGCGCTCTGGAATTTTCTGCTTCTGTATTGAGGCATCAGTCCTTCAAGGTTATTGCCTTCAGTGATGCCCTTTTCCTTCTTTGCTTGCTAGTTGGGAATATTTTGGGTTAGATTTTTATGTTCTATTCATTTTAATCAGAATTTTGGGGTAAAAATACTGTGGGCAACTTTGCTGGCTGTCTTCCTAACTTAGTTCATTTCTCTTTCCTTTTTTTTCCTTCACTCAAGGTATGAGTCAGGGAAACAAGCAAAATGTTGTGGAGGGACCTCACCCACTTCCCCAAAAGCTTCCCAGAGGTGGGCTGATAGGACACTGGAAGCAGGACTCATTGACTAATGAATGGTTAAGAATGTGTAGTAAGACTACCAGGGTTTGGGTTCCAGTTCCATTCTTTGTTAGGTATATGATCTTCACCTCTCTTTGCCTCAGTTTTCTCACTGATAAAATGGGAGTGATAATAGAAGTCAGCCCATGGAATTAGGAGAATTCAATGAGATAACATAAAATGTTAACCCAATGATGTTATTACATGTCACAGCCCATAGACACAGCTTCAGTGTTAGTGTTCTGGCAGGTGGAAGTCCCCAGCCAGAGGATGGAGACTCTTGGAGCAAAGGGAGCCCAGGCTGAGGGCCATATGTCTAGTTGTAACCCCCTCCTCTTTTTTTGCCAGTCACAGAACAGGAATGGGAGGGGAGTATTTCCCTCTGCTCCCAGTTCCTGTGAGAGAGGGGGAAAGTTCCCAGCATCCTCCTGGGAGGAAAAAACAAACAAACCTGTGATTGTTTTGGAAATCCCTAAACAGGTCAGGAGGGAGAGAGATGTAGGCTATAGGCTTCAACTTTGCCCGATGTACTTTCTTTTTTTAAAGATTTTATTTATTTATTTTTAGAGAGAAGGGAAGGGAGGGAGAAAGAGGGACAGAGACATTGATGTGTGAAAAGAGTATCAATCGGATGCTTCTCACGCGTCCCCAGCACACCCCAAACTGGGGACCTGGCCTACAACCCAGGCATGTGCCCTGACCAGGAATCGAACTGGTGACCCCCTCAGTTCTCAGGCCGGCACTCAACCCACTGAGCCACACCAGTCAGGGCCTGATGTACTTTAAAAGTTTTAGAGTTCAGTTACAAAACAGTTGCCCTGGATAGTCTTTTTAGAGACTTAATTCTCTCCACCCTTATTTATGTACCATTTGCATCCAGTGACAGTCAGTGAGCAGAAGCAAGTCTATAAATCCATATATGGGAACCTGCTAGGACTGAGGATTAAGGAGGGGTGGAGCCTGAGTGACTGAGAGAGTGGCCCAGATTTAAGAGCTGGAAATGAGTGCTGTAACCACTCAGAGCAGTAATACTGGAGGATGTGTTGACCCTAAGGTGCAGGAGTAGGCAGTTTGTCTTGAGCTTTTTTCACAGTCAGTGTGCCGGCCAGGCCGGGCCACGGAGCCTTCCCAGCCCTGCTGATGGCCGCTCCCATATGGAGTGTATCCTGGGCTGTATTCATCTTCCCTGTCATGTGTGTACCTGAGTGAACTGCGTGCAGTACTGAGACTTGTCCAAACAAGCACACTTCGCCTCGTAAAGGTCCAGGACCATTACAGTGTCCTCATCAGATAGCTTTTATTTATTCATCTGGAATCAAGCTGTCAGGCAGCACGACTGGGGAATATCTGGGCGTCAAAGTGACATTGATAAAAAGTGCTTGCCCACAAGCAGTGTCTAGACTTTTGTAAACCTCATGATTCATGGCGACATGGAACTGAAATCAGAAGTTAAAATCAAATTTGCAGGGAAGAGGTAGGGACCGCTAGCGATACGCTTATAAACACAACATTTCATCTTTTGGGAGACTTGGCATCAGATTATTTTTTATCTCTTCCAAGGCTATTGCAAAAACAAAGTAAGACATGTGCAATTAGAAGGGTTTTCTTCTTTGTCTCTCTCTCTTTTAATGTATTTTTGAGTTTTTCAGTTGCAGTTGGCATTTCGCATTAGTCTCAGGTGTGCAGCATAGTGGTTAGACATTTCTGTAACTCACAGAGTGACCCCCCTGTCACACTGTTACTGACTGCGCTCCCTGGGCTGCTCTACTTTACGTCCCCATGACTGTTTGTAACTGCCCATTTGTACAACTTAATCCCTTCCCCTTTCTCACCCGGCCCCCCCAAACCCTCCCACCTGGCACCCGTCAGTTTGCTCTCCCTGTATATGAGAGGGTTTTTCTGCTTTGTTTATTCATTTACTTTATTTTTTGGATTCCACTTAGGTGCAATTACATGTTTTTAATTCCACTGGATAGAGACGTTGTTCCCTCTTTGGAGGTTTTCACAGCGTTGGAGAAAACAGTTGGAAAAATTTCACATCTCACTTTAGAGCCTCCTTATGAGAGTCAGAAAGGCCAGAATATCACATGCCTGAAAGTAGGATAGAAATTTAGGAAAAATAAGCGTAAGTACTTGTGCAAGGAGTTTGTGGGATGTAATAAGCATCTTCCATTTTGAAGGAAGTGTGGGTATCGTAACCATGTAGACTAGGTAGAGGCATGGCCCACAGACAGCCTTTCAAAGCTATTTCAGATGAATTCATTTCCATCAGATGCATTATGCCGTTCTAAAGCCGCCTCTAATAGCACACATTTTGGGAGATGCTTCAGGCATTTTTAAAATGGGTGTCTTTGGAGTGAAAAACAATCCAAAGGCTGTACCAGTCACCCCGAAGGGCTCATGCAATCTAAGCTGTTTCATGTGGAATCGCAGGAGCAAAGCAGCTTTTCGTAAAGAAACCTGGCGCTGCAGCTCACTCGCCTGCGTCTTGCCCCCGAGTTGCAGTTGCGGTTCAAATCCTGGCACCTTCGGTGTTATCAGTGAGACCTTGGTCAGTTCCTAGTCACTGAACTAGGGAAGATAACTGTACTTGCTTCAAAGGCTTGAAGTGAAGATGAGGTGAGATAAATCCTGTAAAGCATTTAGCAAAATGACTTTGAAAAAGGGCTTATAAGTAAGGACTCATTCAATGGTAGCCTTTGTTATAATTGTCACGTTTTATTTTATCCTTCTCCCCAAAGGCCATTTCATCCCTATTTCGTTTGTGACAAAATTGAGACAGAAGAAGTGACTTGAGGACTTTACTCAGCCAGGACTGGTTCCCAAACTCTTGATGCGAGCCGTCTGTTTTTTATTCAATTCCTCCTTGATGTTGGCTCTGCCCTGGTTGCCGCTGCGCTTTCCTGTCTGTCTGAGGTGAACTGTGATTCCCCCATCAGCCTGCTCTCGGTTTTCAGTTACACTTCCCTCGCTGGTGGGGGGCAGTCTGTTAGCCTTCAGAACTGAACCCCATTCCCACCAGCTCCTTGGGCAGTGCCCAGTGGGGAGGCAAGAACCAGAGAACAATGCCTAGATTCACCTTTTTCCCTGCTGCTGACCACCTGTGTGTGCAAAGCCACATCACTTAGCATCTCTGCGCTTTCATTTACTCTTCTGTTAACTGGGGTTAGAAACTCCTCTGTGATGGTGAGGGTCCCTTCAAGCAATAGTACAAATGATAAAGTGCTTTGATTCATATGAAGCTGAATATATAGGTGAGATGCCTGAGTGTGGTGTCAGCATTTGTTGCTTATCGGCTAGAATACACCCAGTTGCTCTCACCTGTCTCGTGCCTCCACCACTACCTAAAGCCTCTTCTCAAACGTTGGCTCTGGAGTGTGCCTGTCTGTAGATGAAAGGAAGGGCTTGAGGAACCATACTGAAACCTACCAAAGGGCTTTACAAAGGGAAGGAAGGAAGGAGGGAGGAAGGGAGGGAGGGAAGGAGAGGGGAAGGAAAGGAAAAGGAAAAGGAAAGGAAAGGTAGAAACCACCCAGAAACCAGTAAACCAGGTCACTCAAGGGCAAAGCAAGCAAATTCCGTCCCTGAATGCTGTGTGACCTTGAGCAGCTCATGGAACCTCTCTCTTGGTTGCAGATTGCTCAAAGGCAGAGATGGCCTAGATACTCCCTGAGGTTCCTTGTAACTTCAAAATGTTGGCGATATAGGTATAGAGAGGAAATGCATGGCCTGCTTTTGCTGTTTTGGCTTTGGAACTCGCATATGCCTTTCGTCATCTGAAAGTGTCCAAGCCACACAACCCAGGCTCTGAGTTGGCGCAGTTCACTTGGAGGAGGGCCAAGTGCCATGGATCAGGCAAGCCACATTCAGCTTGGGGTTTACTCTGGGCATCAAGAAATCTTTCTTTGGACCACAGCGTTGCTGTTATTCTTGACCAAGTGAGAGGAGTTAATTACAGAGAAAAATAAGTACCTCCACCCAAATCCTGCAAGATGTGCTCTTCTTGCCCTGGAGCCCCAGCTTACACTGAGATATTGCTGAAGACATTTTCAGTAAATCTATGAGGTGGGGAAACAGAAAAAAAATTCCATCTTCCAGCAGCCATATGTTACAGAGCAAGCCCGTGCAGGCATCCGGCAGGGCAGTGTGATTGAAAGGTGTGATTACGAGGTCATGTTATCCCCATCTCTGACCCCATCTTGGCCTCCAATATAATCTCCAACCGCTGCTTGTGTCATGGGGCTGAAGTAGGTTACCCCTTTGGAACATTAGGTCATCGGATTGGGGCATGAGAAGCCTCTGTTTTAATGCATGGACATATTAATGCTGGGAGCCATTATTGGCCATTAACACCTTAAACAATGATTTTTTATGGGGTATGAATCAGATGAGTCACGGATGGAGGGAGAATGGAGGCAAAGATCTAGAACTCTGGGAGTTGCTAAGGAAGGTGGATGTGAGTGGTGGTGCAGGGGCAGCCTCAGTGTAAGAGGCACATGAGAAAAGACAAGAAGGCTGGTAGGGCGAGCCAAGAGCAATGTAGGTTCAGAAGGAGAAAGCCTACCCAGGTGACAGGGAAATAAGGGAAGTCTTCGTGGAGAAAGTGTTTGCACCGATCTCGAAGGTCTGGAGAAACAGAAATGAGATTCCTCCTAAACAAAGGGACTGGATGGGCAAAGACTCTGAGGAGGCAAAGTATTATCCAAGGCATGCTTGAGTGCACAGGGACCACACACAGGGGGCACCTGAGTGGTACCCTTAGCTGGTCCTCAAATGTCTTATGGTTAAGTCACTTCTGCGGACTGCTGCTCCATGCTGAGTTCATTCCTTGGGAGGTAAGTGAAACCCGCTGAGTATGCATGGAAGGTTACTCCTGAGCCTCTGACTCTTGGACCAAAGGTGATTAGCACAGTGTGGAGTCAAAGCGCTCCATCCGTGGTCAGGGAAGCTTTGCCCAGTTAAAAGGTCTGTGGTGTCTCCACAGGCATATTTCAGTCTTTGAAACAAGCTGTCAAGAGAGTACCAAGAAAATGTCGTGAAACAATCTGGTTCCCCAAAGAAGTCAGCCAGAATACCTTGTCCTAGAAAAGACCATGCTTTAAAATTTGATAAAAGCAATTAGTAGAGTGTCTCCCTTTGGCTGCTGGCAGGAAGGGTGATAAGAGGGTACGAGGATGGTTCTAAGTTAAAAAGTACCGGCTGGAAACAAGAGAGATGATGCCGCTTGCTTATCTCTTCATAGACATGATAGAAATTGAATGAAGACTAACTTCACTGGATATGTTTTCTAAACAAAGGTTTGTAAACAAATGTTCATTCATCTAGAATGAATTTATTATGGCCAACAGCCCTCTATGTTCAAAATAATCAACTCCTCTTTTGCACATACAAGTGGCAGATGCTAGCAGGACATAAAATATACATGCAGCATGATCTCAACCCTAAATGAATGGATTAGAAAAAAGAAGGGAATAAAGTACGCTGGGATGGTAGCAGATTGCCCCTGAGTAATAGAACTCTGAATTATGTAGGTTACAGTAGTGAACATGCTTTGTAACACTTCTCTGTCCTTGAAAATTTTCATTAAGTGGTATATTATTTTGATAGTGGAGGGGCGGCAGTATTCTGAAGGTTGTAGGGGGAAAAAAGGTGGTAACAGAAAATTGACAGACTCCCTTAACAAATGATTCCTTATTTGATTATGACTGTGGCAAAGCAAGGAAGGGTTGGGTCAAGGTGAGATCTACTTGCTCTGAGCCTGGTGGTGCCCTGGAAGGCTGAGTTTCTCCTTCCCTCCCCCCCTCTTTGGCTCCATAGCACTAGCTATGCAATTCACCTTTACTTTTCTTTTTTTATATAGTTCATGGATCCTCGCTCTCCTTGGTTTCCAGCACATCGTCAATTTATTCAACAGTGAGTATAAATCAATGTTGTGTAGCTATGATCATATGAGCTGAGGTTCTTTTATCGTCTGTGTCAAAAATAAAATAAATTCAGCATTCTTCTTAGAGTTTTCCATTATAAAGGGATCAATTAATTAGGGAACCAGATTTGAAATTCATAGACAGCTATTGATTAGAATGTACTGACCAGCAAATCAGGAACTGGCTGCTTTGTTAAAGTGGCATTGTGCTGTGGGTGTAACTAGTTAGATGTGTGAGAAGCCTTGGCCACCTGCTGGTAGAATTTGAAAAGAAAGGCCTTGAAAAACTTATTAATCTGTCTGCCTCAGTTTCTTTATCTCTAAATAGAAAGAACAGCTGTCCCTACCTTGTGGAGTTGTAATGAGGATTAAATATTCTGAAGATTATATTTTGATACTGTATAAATTCATTGAGAACAAGGACCTTTTCCTGTTTTTATTCCTAGTGCCTAAAAAGTGTTCAAAAAATAGGTTTGTGTAAAATAAGAAAATGCATTGGAAGTCATGACTACAGTGCACATGGCACAGAGTAAACACTCATAAGTATTCACTATCAGAGTTTTACTGAACAAAAGCCTGATATAATCAAATATGGTACTGGATTTGTCCGGCGGGGCTTACTTTTTATAGTTATGTGCATAAATACTTGTGAATTTCTATAGGAAAAAAAAATTTGTTAATTAAGAATTGAAGATTCTTTAGCCCTTAAGTCTGCGGAGGACAAATGGTTGTTTTACCATTTCAGGTTTCTGGGCTACATAGCAGGACAAACTATATATAGCCCCTTTTAAGTAAAAGGCCATCCCAGAATCAAATTAAAGAGACCGCAGCCTGACTGTTCTTCCTTGGGCCTATAGCAAGCAAACGCTTCTGTGACTGTTAACATGGTCTGATTCGAAGGACCTAGAAATGCCCTCTTCTGCCCCTACCCACCTCGCCCCTCCAACTCCAAAATACTTCTTTCTTCAGGCTGATCGCCTTGTCTGAAACTTCATCACAGAGCCCCAGCTTTTGTTTTAAAGGCATTATATATAGTAACCTTGGGGAGAGGTTGTATAAGCCATTATCTACTAAGAAAGCATAGAGGTGGCCTTCTAACTGTCAGGTAGTACACACACTAAGTCTGTTCTACAGTGGAACTCCATGATATCAATACTAGAGATGGGACGGTCAAACCGAGATTCCCTTCTTCAACAGGGTCTCTGGCACTAGATACATTCAGGCTGAGCCCCGCGGATATGGTTTAAGAGTAGAGAGGAGCCTGCTGCTGAAAGAGGAAGGCAGAGGCACCAGAGGGCCCCAAGGGACAAGGGTCATGGGACACTCGTTTCACAGTTGATGCAGAGCCACTGTAGCAGACATTTTCATGCCCATGCCCCATGTCTTCTCAGTGGTGTTCCCAGGGCTCCCTGTCAACCCAGAGGGGCAGGCCCTTCGGAGCATAGGGAAATCCGGGAGTCTGGCCTGTGTCAGCCAGCCTCGGAGGGGAAGAGCATGAGCTTTGCCGCCTGGGATGTGAGCATCACATGGAGGAACCCGGCACTTGCCCTCATGCCAACCATTGGAAGTTCTTGCAGTCAGAGGTCTCTCTTCCTGTAGCTCTTGTGCTGGGGGGACATTAAGCGAGTATTTTCATTCAGTGATAAATGGTCTTTTCTGAGTTGATATAAATTCACAAATAATAATTTTTAATGCATCTGGATAGCAAGAGGCCCGAGGTCTAATCTTAGTTATTTTCTCCCTGTGTGACTTTGGACAAATCACCTCCTCATTCTTGGTGTCTCTCAGTTGCCCTTGGTGTTAGAGAGCTAAGAAGGGTGGTCTCTGAGGTCCCCACAACCTCTGACACTCCACTAGTCGTGGAATCAAAGGTTCCCCTTCCCTGTCCTTAGCATATGCCCTCTCTGGGAATATAGGTTACTTTGCAGACTGAAAAAAAAGTAGTCTAACAATTAGATGTTTTCCTGCCAGACTAGTCTGCTAATTCCAAGGAAACCTGCAAGTCTGGCTAGACTCTACAACCAGCAAGTCCTGATGTGTGGTCCCCCATCTATTATTAGCCACTTGGTGATGATGAAATTTTGAAACAAATGCTCAGGCGCCTTTGTAAATGTGAAAATGAACAAGCTTTTATTTGTTGTCTGCAAAGAGATCTTTGGAGTCTCTGAAGTTGTCACCAACCCAGACCAAAGACTGTTTAATAGCTGAGTGTTTTATAGGCTCTTATTGGATGATGATAGGTTTTTCCCCCCTGAAATCTCTGTAATTCTTGGATATTCAAGACTGCCCACTCTGGCTGAAATGTGCCTGTAATTTTAATTACAAAGACAAGAAAAGGCAACATGACACTAAACAACTGTTGTGGAAGAGCCATGAATAACCCATGGAATAGAGAAAATGTAAGAGGCCACATCTGGCATCAGACTTCATCTCCTTACTGGTTAGGGGGCAGCAGTTGAGTTCCATGGGGAGCCACTGAATGGAGGGAGGTCTACAGCTGCACTTAGACTTCCCAGATGTGCAGAAGGGCAGCCGCAGCTGAGGGCAAGATACAGAACACAGGATTTCTCCAGGCTGCTGTTGAGAACAGGGGCTCATCCCCATAGACAGGTGGGCACGGTGACAGTGGCAGAAAGATAGGGAGGAGAGTTCAGCCTATTGATATAAGCGTTTAGACATAGGGCTGGATGGTTCAGCCTGCTCACCGGCCTCCGCTAGCCTCCCAAATGATCGATAGTGCTGACATTCTCACCATTAACTTTTCCCCTTTGGATCAGACTCAGAAGATGGGGTCTTATTTCTGGGAAGCTTCCATGAGAATGTAGCTGTAATAAAAGCAAGAGAATGTGCTGGTTAAGATCATAGGCTCTGGAGCCAGAGTGCCTTGGATCTAATTCCAGCTCTACCACTTATCAGCTATGACCACGGGTAGATTACTTAACCTCTCTGTGCCCCATTTTCCTCATCTGCAAAACAGAAGGTGATGGTATTAGTACCTATTCAAAGGGTTGCTAAGAGAATTAAATGAATATTGAATATAAAGTGCTTGGAACGGTTGCTGGCATGTGGCACTATTCCATAAGTGCTACTTATTATTACCAGAAAGTAACTTGGACATGTTAACAGCTGTATTTAGGTTCTTAACCAGTGCCTGCCACATAAAGGAAATACAAATATTTCACAGGTGGTAGTGGGTGGGATGGATGGGTGGATAGACAGACAAAGAGGGATACATATCATCTGGGAGAAAAGAATGGACCCTCAGGATGTCTCCAAACCTCCTGAAAGTGTCTCTTAGATGAGGAGATTGCCCAGCTGTGTGATGTAGGCAAGATACCTAACCTCTCTGAGCCTCAGAGGGATTACAAACAAACCTATTTTATGGAGTTCCTGGGAGGATTAAGCGATTTTGCCCCAGTGTACCTGAAAATTAGTCACTGTTGTTAGTTTGGAGCCAGACCACTGGAGGGTGGTTGGCCCTTGGACGGGGTTTGGGGTGAGGGCAGTGGGGAGCAGAGTGAAGGGAGATCAGACAGGAACCTGCCCCAGCTGATGGCTGTGGGGCCTGGGGGCGTCTAATGAATCCTACCTGCTTACGTTCTGAATAGAGAAGTAGACACCAGAGTCAGGTGCCGGTTTAAAAAAATAATGAGTTTATCACTAATAAATTTGGATTAGGACATACGAGGAGGACCCAAGGACAAAAGAGGGCCCTTAACTGATCTTCACTCACCTACCTGGCTTCCATGTCACTGCCCCACCTGGACAAGTGTGCATAGCAGGGTGGAGAGAAGGGCAGGAGCACTTCCAGCACTTCCAGGAATGGGTAGCGGGACGTCTTCTTTTACGGGCCCCTTGGGAACCCGGGAAAGGGAAAGAAAGGTTCTCCTGGCCGTAAGTTCCCCCACCCACGTGGGCTCCCCCTGTGGGAGGGGAGAGTTAGTTTCATTCTCCCACCGGCCACTAGCCATATCCCCACAGACGCGGGGCCCAGCACGGAAGGCTCTGCCAGCACGAGGACCCACAGGCTTCACCTTTACTCCCCCAGGGGCCCAGGTAACTGGGGACCTTGGAGTTACCTGTATTTTTATCTTCTAAATCTGGCGGCCCTGCCCTGGCTCACCCCCTTCTCATGACACCCTCTCCGGAGCCCCTGACCCTAGCACTGTCTCCACATGGCGATGGGGCTCCTCCCGACCAAAGTAATTAGAGTGTCTGATTCTTCCTGACTTCATAAAATAATCGTGCTGATTGTTTTTGGCCTTTTCATTGGTCAAATTAATCGAACCAGTTTATCCAGAAAAATACACCAGGAGAGACACTAGTAAATCTCCCAGGCTGCTATTAGTATCCAGATGTCCAGGTTACTTTCCGCAGCCTGGCCTGCACTGCCCCTCTTGCCTCTCCTCCTCTCATCTCCCTGTGTTTTCTTTACAGCCAGAAGAAAAATGCCAGTCGGAGGTAAGGACCCGTTTGCTGGCTGGATTTCCTCTTTCACTGTCATCAATTATTTTACGCAGCCTAACGTGGAAACGGGCTCCCATAGCAAGTAACCCTGTCCCTTGTCATCTAGATTCGCAAACTGCGGCGGGAGCTGGATGCCTCCCAGGAAAAGGTTTCTGCTTTGACCACCCAGCTGACAGCAAACGTGAGTGTGGACACTGGGCAGTCGCCATCGGGCGGGGAGACGGCCCCTGCGGCCGGCTGAGCGTCAGCTCGAGGCCTCCCGCCCCAGAGCACCTTGGAAGCCCTGCGGCGTCATACACAGGCGTTAGCATCGTGGATGTGAATGTCAGCTCTCACACTTTCAGGCTCTGTGCTTTGGGCAGGTCTTCAGCCTCTGAGCTTGTATTTGCTCCTCTGTACAATGGGCGATGATATACCTCACAGGGTTGTGGTGTGATCAGTACCTGGAATGGATTAAGTGCTCAGAAATGTTCATTTCCCTCCCCTTCCTCTTTCTGAAAATTTTCATAGCAGGGGGAAAAAAAGGCAGTGGGGGAGGAAACCTAAGGTTCCACAGTAAATAGCTGACTGCTCTGTAATTATAATATACACAATTACGTGTTCAGGGGGCACTGCCAACCGGCATTCAATTCAGCAATTGTTTAAGTGCCAACTCTGCCCCTGGCACTGTGGGTTCAACAGCAAAGCAAGCAAGTCACTGTCATCTTAGTGTTCTTTGTCTGGCACAGCAGAGAGACAAAACAGTTTTGCTCTAACATGATAACTGTTATGATAGAGATCAAGGGAAAACGTTGTGGGAATACGTAGGTAGAGCACCTGTCTCAGTCTCGCTGGGGCAGGAGGTCAGGAAAGACTTCCTGGAGGAGGTGGCATCTGACAGATACTGTGTAAGGGGAAGGGCATGGGGAGGACAGCATTCTAGCCAAAAAGAATAACTGGCGCAAGAGCGCGAGGTGAAAGATCTTGGTGCACTTGGACAAGAGGCAGCGTGGAGGGAAGAAGGACAGAGGCATCAGTGAAAGGCAGCAAACAGGGCACATCGCAGAGGCTCTCAGCTGTTAGGTGAGGAGTTGGGCTTCCTTCTGAAGTCAGTGGAGCCCTCTCAGAGGGCTTTAAACAGAGCTGTGAGCGGGTCAGATGCGGTGATAGAATCGGAGAGGTCAGAGTAGAGGCAAAGATCTCCTACCCCATCAGACCAGCCTGTAAAGGAGGCCTGCTGCAGGGCTGAAGCACAGAAGGCAGAGCCTGAGGTTTGGGGAGGTGCTAAGAAGGTGCTTCTGGGTCAAGACTTGCTACCCAGGAATGCACGGCCTAGCCTGAGTCCGCAAATACAGGTGTGCAAGGCGGTCAGAAACAACCTGCCTGACCCCATAGCATGCTGTGAAGCGAAAAGCAACCTCAAAAGGTTGTCTTCCTTGGACCAAGAAGCTGAATCAATACTCCAAATTAATATTTTACCTGCAGTTTTTGCCCAGGTAATTCCTGGTTTGAGCCCGAGTCTGCTCAAGGAAACCCTGTCTCTTTCAGGTCTGCACATAAGTGCCTGGCACAGTGCTGGCCCTTGACTACCAGCTCAATAATTGGTGTCTGCTGTCACTAGTATTCATTTTTCTGAGCTCTCTCATGTTTCTAGAAATCTTAGGTTTTCTTCCCAAAACGCGGACGTACTAGGTCACTGTGTGTTTTGTAATCCTTTCTTTACCTCATCCATCAGTAATGCTGTCAAAAGAACATCAGAAATTGATGTGAGATCTGAATTTTGAGGCTTAGGTCCTGTTCAGAAAACAGCAGAGGTATCTTCTGAGGGCAGACTCTTTTTCTGGGTCACCATTTGAATCCAGAACCAACCTCAGACCCAATAAGCCAGGATCTCCTGCATATATAATCCAAATATATGAGATTTGACAGCAACCCTCCCTCCTAAGTGATTTGCAGCTACTTCCCTAGTTAAGAATTACAGCTGTCAATTGTTGCTCCTTACTAATCAAAAAGCAGTAATTGACTTAACATGAACTTGAGTCCATTCTTCCAATGACCTCCTGTTCCGTGGGACCTTACGTTGGGCCATTTGGAGCCCTGCTCTCTATTCCAGAGGAGTCAGAGGGAGATGGCTTATATTACTGTTCTTCTAAAAGTGTGTTGCTCTTCACAAAAGGCATTGAATCCAGTATCGTTTTACTTTTATTTTGTTTTAGCCAGTATTGTTTTAAAGTAAATATTTAGTCTTACCACACACCACCGGCAGTGCTAACGTGTTTTATTGTCTGCCATCTCTCCCACAGGCCAAGCTGTGTTTGTTTTTCTAGGGCAAACTACTCAAAGCCACCTTCTCTGGGTGTTTCTATACCACTTGTGTTTGTTTTCCCGGGGAATGTGAGAATGGTGCTGGATGAGAAAGAAGGCTGTAGTGTGGCTCTGAACCAGGCTCGCAGCGGCCTCAGCCCGTGTTTTCATAGTTGCATTTGTACACAAAGCCAGTCCTTCTGTTCATCAGCAAAATGCTAACCTTTGGTTCTTCAGAGCAAATGCGGTTTCTTCTTGAGCTTTGCAAAAACACTTTCTCACTAGCGTGGGGTCAGGTTTTTGTTTTCACTTGAAGAGAAAAATATGAATGCGCACTGATAGAATCATGGGTGGCAATCACACAAAAATTTGAAATAAATGGAAATTCAGTCCTTTAAATTTGACCTTGTCGTTCCTTTGAAACACAAGGATAGCAGGCCTTCTTTTTCATGTCCATGTCCTGGCCCACTTCCTTCATCCACTGTGTGACGGAGTTAAATTGGCTGTGGTTTTGCCACGGTTTCCAGGGCAAACTAAAGTATATCTTTTTATTTTCAAGAGCAAAGGCATTTTCTCAATGTTTAAGAGAGAGCGGGCATGTCATCAGAAAGAAACTAGCTAGTGCACTTCACATTTCTATTACAAGTAGCCCTACTCCCTGCCAGACCCTACGGCTGTTGGAAAAGACTCAACCGTTGATCTTAGTGATGATCTTATCCTCAACTGTTCCTGTCTGATGAGATATAGTGACAGAGGCCTCTGACTCACTCCTCAAATCTCCCCTCCTTAAATGTCTGCATCCACTGACCCTCCTCACAGCCGGAGGCAGTGACTCCTCCCCCACCCAGATGTTCTCCAGCTTTTATTCTTCACTGTGCGCATCACCCATCTTCTCTTTAGGAATTTTCCAACATGATCAAATCTTAACTCCTCCTAAGACTCTCAAGTATCCTGCTGGTCCTTCTCATTCCTCCTATAGCTGTCTTTGTGTGTAGCTACCCACCCCTCTCTGAGAACAGTCTCTTGATCTCCCTGCTCCAATGTTCTGATAGTATCTTTGGCCACTTTCTCATTCCCAGACCTCTTCCTTTCCCTCACAGCGTTTGTTCATTCCTGTGTTTCACCTGTATCGTTTCATTCACTCATAATAACCCTCGGAGGAAAATAAATATTGCTCCCAGTTCATGGGTGAAGAACCCGAGTCCAGCAGGATTAGATGACTCATCCATTCTTTATTCTTGGTTCTCGCAATATTAATCAGGATCCTCAGTCAACTAACCAATCTGTCACCTCCAGCTCCGTGGAAGAAGGAGGAAGCCTTAGTGTTAGAACACAAAGATGCCTCTTGCCCTTGAAGAGGGCTGCAGGGCAGGGGGCAGACAGGAAAATAGCACATTTCTCAATTCTAAGACACATTTTTTTCATATTTTAACATCTTTGAAAATTGGGTGTATATTTTAATTATAATTGGCAGCATTTAAAAAAATGTCTTAGTAAGATATGAAATAATGGTGCTTCTGATGCTGGGTTTTAATGGGGATTTATGAAAGTGCAGGGGAGCTCAGGGGAAGCCGTAACTCTCCAGGGGAACAGGGGAGGGGTTCTCTAAGGAGGTAGCAGATGGGCCTTCCAGTGGCTTTTTATTAACCAGGATTATAACAAGCAAAATATGCCAACCACTTTGCTCATTCACTCTACAAGCATGCTCCATACAAGCCCCTATTGTGAGCTTGGTGTTCGATGAACAAAAGGTCGTCCTGCTGTGTAGCAGAGACATGCAAACCAGCTATCACAAGAGCACATGTAGTTTTGACTGTGACACCATAAAGCACAAAGCAGCAGTCCGGTGTGCTTTTCATGGTAAATATGAAAGAACCAACCCAATCCGGGGGAGTCATGGCACATGAGCTCTCTTGAGAAGGATATGCAAAAATTAGTTAGACAGGGAGACAGCTCGGGAGTAGAGCACCCCAGGCTGAGGGAAAAATGTGTATAAAGACCCTAAGGTAGGAAGGAGCATGGAACATCTGAGACATGAAAAGCTAGAGTAACAATCCCAAAGAATGCTGGGCAGCAAGGGCTTAAAAGACTGAAGAATTAGACGGGCTAACTCACGTAGTCCTATGAGGATTTTAGTCTTTAAGACTGTGCACCATTCAGGCACTCTTACCTTAGAAGGCAATATAACGCAAGCTGTGTCTTCCCCTCCAGGCTCACCTCGTGGCAGCCTTTGAACAGAGTCTTGGAAACATGACAATCAGGCTTCAGAGTTTGACCATGACGGCTGAGCAGAAGGTAAAGCAGAAAGGATGCTTTTTCCCCCCTCCCTGCTTAGAGTTAACTACACATCTGAAAATATTCTCTTTCATTCCAGATAATGGTATAGATTTTAGAGGAGGTCTGTTGAGTGAGAACATGACCTAGATGGCCAGGTGGTAACTTTATCCATGACAGATGTCATAGTCCTATTTCTGCTGTTTTCATGGGCTCACGTACGCATGTTGAAAGTTGGCCCAACTTCGTGTTTGAGACAGAGGTTTTTTTAGCACTCCTTTATTTCATACCCTCCACTGTTGAAACTTGCACTTCAGTTGAACTCTGAAGAGAATAATTTTAGAATAACCAATATTTTTTTTTCTGCTTCTCAGGATTCAGAGTTGAATGAGTTAAGAAAAACCATTGAGTTGCTCAAGAAACAGAACGCAGCTGCCCAGGCTGCCATTAACGGAGTAATTAACACACCCGAGCTCAACTGCAAAGGTAAAGGAACAGAAACGGCCTTCAGACCAACAACCTGCCTTGCTCTAAGGAGCCCTCCCCTGGCAAAGAATGATGCAACTGCCCTGCCAGAGACTAGTTGTCCATGACAGTTTAGCAGGTCCTGGAAGGCAAATACGTCATCCAGTTACTTCTGCCCTCTGGGAAGATAGCTGTTCCATCTCATTCTCTTTGATATATCTCAAAAATGGAAGAAAATGTATTTCTGTTGGCCAAGTGTCAAAGTATTTCATAGCCCTTAACCTCACTAATGCTTTGATGTTTACATATTGATGGGGGGCAACCTGAAATGGGTTCATCTCATGTTTGTCCAGGAAAGGATTTGTGAGTGAACTGCTTTGTCCCTGTATCACTTGAGAGGCAATGTGGGCATGAGGATGAGTTACCTCCTGCTATAATGATATTAACGGTAATAATAGAAGTCACAGTGATAGCTAACATTTATGGGCCACTCATTCTGTTCTAAGCGCTGTACTCAGTGTTTCAATTATCTAATTAATGATCTCATTTTCTTTCCACAACACCCTTATGAGTGCAATACTGGGCCTCTCCACATTGTACTGGTGGGGACACTGAGTTTCAGAGACAAGAGTCACATCCTAAGGTCATGGAGTAGTTAGAAGTGGGACTAGACCCAAGTCTGTCAGACTCTGAACTTGGTGCTCTTTAAAACCCGGCTGTAGGTGTGGCTCTGCGCTCATGAGAAAAGCTGTCTGCAAACTCTGTTTTGGAATCACTAACATGTCAGGCAGTGTTATTTCTGGTACCACTATTGTTTCAGATATCAAGCCTCCTGAAACCTTGATGATAGAGTTGATATGGGAAGGATTAGTGAGAGCTCACCAGGCGGAGGGGAGGGAAAGAGCATTCCAGGAAGAAGGAATAGTGTATGAAAGGTCCCTGAGATGAATGGGCGTGGCATTTCCAAGGGGATGAAAGAAGGCCAGTGCAGCAAGGGGGGGCGGGGGCGCTAAAAACATCTAAAACATCTATCTAAAGCCTAAGAGAGTTGATGTTGGGGGAATTCTCTCTAGGCCACCCTGTGCTTATGTAAAGTGGAGAGAAAGAAGCCTCATTTAATTGACCAAATGGTATAGCACCTACCTGCTCAAGGACCTCAGTAGCAGCAGTGAGGAACAGAAGGTGATATCTAATGGGAGCAACCCAGTAGCCCTCGGATGTGTGGTCTTAGGTGTGAGGGTTATTCCCTAGGACAAGAGAATGGGCTTAAGGCAGCAGCTGTTGACGTCCTTCCTTGGGTCTGCAGGAAACGGTACCTCCCAGTCTGCAGACCTCCGCATCCGCAGACAGCACTCCTCTGACAGCGTCTCCAGCATCAACAGCGCCACCAGCCACTCCAGCGTGGGCAGCAACATAGAAAGTGATTCAAAGAAAAAGAAGAGAAAGAATTGGGTGAGTGGACATCCAGAGACTCCTGTGGGCACTAACAGAGTCAACCTCAGAACTGGTGTCCCCCCGGATAAAGCCCAGGAAGCTCTTAACTTCAGAACATAGACCCTTGGTTTGTGGATAGGTTTCTACTAAAAAACACTATTGTGCTCAGCCAAACACTAGGACTTGCAAAATCACCACCACCTTACAGATTTTCTGTTTCATGAGACTTTATGTGAGGTATTCATCTCTCATTTCATATATATGTCTTTTCTTCCTCCTCATATTCTGGCCAGAAAGTTCCAGGTACTAGAGGAAATTTACTCTTTAAGTGGTTTCTTAGTTCCACAGTATATTTTGGGGTATTATCATTAATTATCCATTGTTAATCATAATTCTTACCTGTTTACACAGTCACCAGATAGCCTTAAACCACCCTTCTCTTTGAGAAACTTTGACCATGTCCTGCAAGTAAAATTTTCCTAATGGTGATCTTAGCAGTCAGTGAATGGTTCTAAATTTGGGGGTTATGCCTCAAAATGGCAAGTTCAATAGAACCAGCCTCCAATGCACTCTTTCTCCATATTTCCGTGATCCCAATGAACTCCTTGACTTCCTGTTCAGTGATATCTTGAACAGTTTTTCCCTTTCGCCTGGGGAAATTCCACTCCTCTCCCTTCCCAATCTCTAGTTCTGCTGTTGAGGCTACGGGATTCTGATGGACATTTGCTACTCCCTGTCTTCAGTCCAAGTTGAACCGAAGCTGGCCAGTACTCAGAGAGCCCATTTGTCCATGTTGACAGCATCATGTTTTCATGGTAGCTTTAATGTCCTCATTCATTCCATACACTTCTCACTCATTTCGTGTTATCTTGGATGGGTGGCGAGGTCTGGTGATAGGGGAGTTGAGGATTCAGTAATTTTGATTATTGACGACTTGTCCCAGAGGCAAGCTATCAGCCCCGTTTAGTGTGACCCTCTCATCATTCTGATGGAATTTTTTTCTTTAAGTTACTAATGGCTTTTAATCAACTGATTTGCTATGATTTAAACAAATAGAATTAACTCACGTTGCTGTTTCTAATATGCTGTTGATAACTATGGTCTGATTCAATTATCAAAGTGGTGAGAGGGAATTCTCATTTATGAAAAATCATGGCTATCCATTTTCTTCAGTTTAAGAAATGAAACTTATTTATTTTGCCATGAAGGTTACTCTTTGCAGTTGGGGAGGATGGATAATTTTCTCACTTCTAAATTCTATAATCTCTTCTTGCACCTGGTATTTCACCAGAGGTAGAGAGAAGCATGTAAGTTGATGGCTTATGTGCCATAGCTTTCTGTTTCTATAACTGCTCTCTCAAAATATGATCAGAAGTAGGAATAAGAGAGAAATAGGATGTAGATTTTCCTACAAACTGGACATAGAGTTTGTTATGGATGAAACATTGATGGGCGAAAAATCCCATTAATTACTTCAGAATGGCCCATTTTCTGAATTTCTCAGTGGCAAAGAAAGCCCCAGGCTATGTTTTCAGAAGAAAGAAGGACTTTAAGAGAAGGAGGTTACTTTTAAAAAGACCTTTTTTCATGATGTAACTTTATTTTTTGGCCTAGAAAATTACATGCTTACCATGGTTTTCAGAGGAGACATTGCACTTTAATTTTTTATGTTCTCATTAGAATTTTTACGTCCATCTCATGGTTTGGGGAAATTGTGATAAACCAGTTTCTTACTCCCAATATGGTTAATAAATTTCCTTTAAAATACCTCTTTTTTTTAGTAACACAGCAAGATGTCTGATTCCCTGCCTATTGTGTTATCTCATGTGTATGCAAGGACAGTGGGAGCTCCTCAGTACCTGTGTCAGAGAGCTCTCCAGAGTGTTGGGACCAGTGCGATAATGCAGCTGCCCTTCCTTGCTGAGACGACAAGGCAAACCCCCCCCCCCAAAAAAAATTAAGGCATAGAGAGGTGACTGATGAGAGACAAAAGGGTGAGAAGCACAGGCAGGTGGGGGCAGTTATTCCAACCACACAGAGAAGCTGGAAGAAGTCAGATTGTTGGGACTTCCAGGCTCGCTATCCTTTCCCTTGCATCATGGAGGAAGATGCCCCCTGTGCTTCGAAATATTTGTGATCTTACTGGAAACCTCCTCTGTGTGTGATGTTTATAATTAGCCATGTTGTGTCTGAAAAATCCAAAGCTTTCCCTGTCACTGGCTTTCTCTGTTAAAAATTGTCTTTTTTCCTTCCCCTTCCCCATTTTTGCTTGCGTTTTCCCTGGCAGGTCAATGAGGTAAGCAAGACTGTTAATATCAGATACCAAGCTAACCCATCCATTGATATGACTAACCTCATCCGCATCCGTCACTGTGTCTGGGCATCCTGCTTTGTTGCTGTGTAACCTCATCCTCCTGACATCCACCTGCTGAGTCAGGCTCTGTCTTGCTGTTGGCATCTAGTCTTGAACCAAGAGTAGGCATGGAATGTCACCCACAGGTCCAGTCCTTTGAGCTGCCCACACCAGATAACTCTTCTTCCCCTAATGCACTGATTGGAGAGAGCTGTTGGGAACCCTTTTCATTGGTGGGAGGAAAACATGGGAGAATTAATTGCTCTTTTGCCTGCATGTCCCTGTTTTGCCAAGGCCTACGTGTAGGTCACAGCCCCTGCCAGGCTGATGGTCTTGTCTGTTCAGTTACGCAGCTCCTTCAAGCAAGCTTTCGGGAAGAAGAAGTCCCCCAAGTCAGCATCCTCTCATTCAGACATTGAGGAGATGACGGATTCTTCTTTGCCTTCCTCGCCAAAGTTACCACACAATGGTTCCACGGGTTCCACTCCGCTGCTGAGGAACTCTCATTCCAACTCTCTGTAAGTCTGTCCGTCGGGGTCAGATGGCCTGTTTGACCCTTAGGAACTCTCTCAGATAGGAGTAGCTGGGAGTCCTGTTATATCTGCTCGTTGGGATACTTGGTGTCCTGCCTTCATAGGACCGTGCAGGTCCCTGCAGTGTTTCAGGATTGGAGAGGCTGAAAGAGAATTGACCCTTAGGTTTTTGTTCTGGTGGCCTGTCACTGGGATAATTAATTAGTAGGTGGCCTCAGGCAAGTTGCTTAACCTCTCTTTGTTTCCATTTCTTTGTCAAATTGGGCTAATAATTATCTACTTATCCTATCCTAAGGAATGAACAAGAGAATTGGGTATGAAAGAGTTATTTCAATCATCTCTCTGTGATGGGAAGGTGATGTTGTAAGCATTGGCTATTTTTGCTGAAGTTCTGGCCCATTTGGGTGACAAGGCTTAGAGTGATTACCCTTTTCTTCTGTGTTGACTCTCTGAGGTCAACACTCAAAAATTGGAAGTTTTAAAAAGATGGAGAGATTTGGTGACAATTCTCTTTACCAAAGGGTCTGTATTTTGCAAAATGACTTATCACCCTGAACTCCCTTAGAAAATTTAAAATGAGTCCATTTGTTCAGAGCTCTTTGAGAACACAGCTGGTTCTGTGAAGTGAGACATGTGTTCACTCACTCAGCATAGGTTTAAGCACTGTTCCCCTTGGTGACTGGTTGCATAGAGAGAACGAGCCATCAGTTCTTGCCCAGCCAGCCACCCTCAATTTCCACTGAGAACCCACTGGTCATTCTCCATCTGAAAACATCCTATGCACCATCCAACTACATAAGGCCCAGATTCTAAGGGCAAGAACATGTCAGGAATGGCTTGGTACGGACTCAGGTGGGAACCCAGGTGTCGATTCAGAAGGTGGCACAGTTGGCTCCTTGCAGCAATGAGAGAGATTGACTCCCATTAGAGACCAGGCCAAGAGTGGAAGAAGAACTGAAGCTCGGGTTGTCTGGGGGACAGCGCCTGGGAGAAGAGGGCCACTGTGCCTGGGGTTTACATGGCCACTGAGCTAGAGCGAGACAAGGGAGTGTGGTGGCTATAGATACCTTGGTATCCTCATTGGTGAAAATGGGATTCATTACATCTACCTCACTCAAGTCTGGGGAGGGCCAAGTCAGGTACCGTGGGTGAAGGGCATCCTTCCTCCTGTTCCGTCCTCCTTCATTTCAGGAGGCCAGGTCTGTAGAGACATTCCTGAGTCCCTTTACCCAGCCAGCCAGCCTGTTGAAGATGGCAGCTATACAAGGGTCCCCAGGCCAGCTTACCCAATGGGTGCAGGGAGTGTGGGCGAGAGGATCAGCCAGGTCTTTGCAGCACACCAACTGCACAGACCACATGGAAGACAGGAGGTGGAAGAGGAAACAGCACAGGCCTGACTTTTTAGCAACCCTACCCACCAGTGAAGCATGGTCTGCTGAGGCCTTCATTTTACTTAGTTAGATTAGTAGCTCCTCTTCCCTTGGGCAGCACCTGGTAAGAGGGTGGCCGCAGAACTGTGCACTTGCGTTACATGCAAGGGGAAAAGCTGGGCAGGGGCAGGGAGAGGAGCACTGAGGAGCGGACTCAGTGCCCCGCCTGGAGCCCTGTGTACGCGTGTGAAGGATGAGACGAGCCATCCCCCTCGTCCACCCTGCTCCGGCCCACTTCCTCTTCTTTGAACTCTCCAGTCACACTCCCTGCCTCTAGCCTTTGCCTTTCCTGTGCCCTCTGCTGGTACACTTTTCCCTAAGATATTCATTTCCTGCACATGGCCCTGCTCAATGTTACCTTATTAGTAAGGCCTTGCCTATGCATTGTGCAAAAAAACAACACCCCTACCACCTCCCAGCACACCCTATCATACCCTCTACTCCTTCCCATTTCATTTATTACCATTTACAAATATCACCAACCTGTTACGTACATTTTTCTTCATTATTTTTTTCTTTGTCCCCCACCATCCTCCACCACCACCCAAAAATCTATAGTCTAAGCTCCGTGGAGGTAGCCACTCTGTTAGTTTTGTGGACATTCAGATATTAGGTGGAATGAATGAGTGACTGTTGCAGTGAGTCGTGAATGGATTTAGGATAAATTCTGGAAGAAAAGTTGAAAGCACATGGTGATGCCGGAGATGCCCAGGAGACCTTCACACGGAGATGCCAACCAGCCTAGAGTGTGCGGAGGTACAGATGTGGGAGGCATGGGCTGGGAAGTTAGAGGGATTCTCCAAGGGGTTGAATGAAGACGGGGAAGAGCCAGAGGGGCAAGGACTGAGCTCTGGGACACTCTGGTATTTGAGGAAGAGGAAGAGCAATCAGCAAAGTGGGAGAAAACCCAGAAGCAGAGAGAAGACACTGTTTGGAGGCAGTAATACTACTGGGCCCAATGCTGCCGGGCGGCCAAGTGAGCTGAAGAGAGAGTGGCGATGGTGCGCTCAGCCACGTGGGACTCCGCAGGCCCTCTCGAGACCTCTCCCTCCAAACCACTTTCCCCACAGGGACTGGGCGGGGCAGACTCTTGGCTCTCCAGCGCCTTTTGGACATTCCACAGCGTCCCTGCACACTGGAGATGTTTGTGTTTGGTTTACTTTTCCAAAGGGTGGGTAGAGAGCAAATGTTTCTTCCCAAACTCAAAGGGTTTGTAAGAATGTGCAGATCTAGATGTGAGAGGGAGTTCAAAAAGGAAACCAAAGGCAGAGGAGTCTGGACTTAGAAAAGGCCCTATCCCGTGGGCGAAAGGAATGGTGCTGTGGGAAGGCAGTGTTTCCCACACGCCAGGCATTTAAAATTAGGTATGCTACCAGCACTGCCTTCTGGACAAGGCGGTGGGAATGTGCTGGAATAACGTGTTAGGGGCTGCGTGGAAAAGACACAAATCTCGTTCCTTCAGTAAGTAGTCAGTAAAATGGACAAACATCTCCTAAGTGCCTACTGAGTACAGGGCGTGACCTGTTATCAGTGACATCACAGAAGTCACTGGTGGAAAGGAACCAAGGGGGAAGGGCAGTAGAGTTTGGGACTAACTCAGAGCTGCTGCAGAAGACCTTGTTTCCAACGTCTTCTCTGTGTTATAGGACGCGCCTCCCATGTGGCAGTTGTGTGTTTCTGAGAACTGGCTCATGTTGGGGGAGCACAGGAGGGCTTCATGCAGTTACTTCCAACACAGACTTGCTTCATTTTGGTTTGTGTCCCTTTGTAGAACCATTGGCCAAGTGTTGCAAAGTTACCCAGGCACTATATTGCACAAAGAGGGGGAGGGATCTGAGGAATTTATGTGTCTCTTGCTGCGAAAGCTTTCTAGGGAAAAGGTACTGGAGCAAAGTGCCTTGCTGTGGCATATAGACAGACCAACCAACACAGTGTGAATCTAAGCCAACCGTTCTCTGCAGTGAATTGGAGCCTTTGAGGTCTGGGCAGGGCATGGTTTAGGCTAATACCAGGGTGTCACACTGGAAGATAGTTCAGATTTGATACTCCATTTAAATCAGGAAACTATAGTCTGCTCAAGAACCAGTTTTTGTAAGTCCTCCTGCAAAACTCCCAAACCAAAAAAAAAAAAACATGAGTATAGTTAAATCTTACAAACCCTGGTTATTCAAAGCACCGAGCTGAGGGGCAAAGGGGTGATCTGAATTTTAAAGCTATTGCTGTCTCTCTAGCCCTTTTAGTCCCAAATCTGTTAGCCTGAGTTTCTCATAGGTGTGAAATGGAAATAATTACAACATTTTCAGGAGTCTTTCAGAGGTTTCAGAAGATTTTGAAGCAGAGAAGTTTCCCTGGCTGCTGAAAACTCTTAAAAGTAGGAGGAGGTTTTGCTCTCTTTGCATCTCTCAAATCAAGAGTTCAGGTGCAGGTCAAGAAAATAGCAACAAAAAGATTTGGCTGTTCAGGCATTGATTTTTCTTCTAGCCACTCTGCCCCCAAAATACAGTTACATCTCTTTTAACGATTATAAATGGTTTTTGTTTGGCAACTGACATTTCCACACCCTCAGCCAGTTGTGCAGGTCAGGTTTTGCTTGGCCCCAAATCCAGTGCTTGGGTTTTTTTACTTGGCCCCAAATCCAGTGCTTGGGTTTTACGGAACAGGCTTGCGTGATTATTTCTGCAGAGACCACATGTTCACCATGCCTTTCGGAGATAATCGGCTTCAGCTCTGTAACTTCATGAACTTGGGGTTGTTTTGTTTGGTTTGTTTCTTTTTTGTTTTGTTTTTTTTCTTTCGTCCAAGAAAGTCAAAACTTTCTATTCTGGATCACCCCTCACTCCAGATCATATGATCTTAGAAATCAACAGAACTTGTTTTTAGTAGAACCCTCTATTCTAACATTACCGTTCATCATGACCTTTATGATCTTCCACTTTGGGATGACTTGCCAGGTATCTGAAGAGCAAGCATAACTAAATCAAATAAGGAGCTCAGCCTAGAAGGACCACCTCTTAAGAAAGACGGACTCAGTCCCCTTGTAGGCTCCCACAGTCCCCTTGCTCTGGGAGTACAACTGGGAAAGAAAGACAACCAGCCACACTACTGTATACTTTTCAGATAAAAATTTGGCTTTTTGCCCTGGCCAGGTAGCTCAGTTAGTTAGAGTATAGTACCTCTATGCCAAGGTTGCAGGTTTGATCCCCAGTCTGGGCACATACAAGAAGCAGCCAGTGAATGCATAAATAATTGGAACAACAAATAAATATCTCTCTTGCTCTCTCCTCTCTCTCTCTCTCTGAAAAAAAAAATCCATTTTTAAAAAAACAACTTTGGCTTCTACGCCACATCATCCTCTCTGCTCTCTAACTACCTGAGACTTTTCCTTGCCATGAGCTTTTAAGCAGTGTTGCGGTTAGGGGAATGAAAGAATGTCACTCTCTAACAGTTAAGGGAGTGGGTCTTGGTGACTAACAGAACTAATTCCTTCCCCCATATCTTTAGATTTTGTTTTTATTTATTTAATTTTTTTTATGGCACATAAAAATCACCCCCTCAGTTGCCTGACCCTGAAGTATTTAATCTTTAAAACAGACAGTTGACCTCGTTTCTCTGAGTGGTTTTAGATCCCAGGGGCCATGTGGTATCATTATCAGGGCCCAGCTGTGTACATACTGGCGGTGGGGTGTGGGGGTGTCAAACTCCCAAGGTTACTACTCCCTTTTCTGGCTCTGTTTATCCTTAGATTATAGGAGTTTTGCTAAAAGGCACACAACAAAACCATTCTGATCGCCAGATCTCTGCAAAGGCAGAGCGTAGAAAGCCATAAAATCTGTGAATTTCAGGTGCTTTTGATAGTATCACCTCCAGGAAGCCTGGGGCAGCTGGTTCTACAGGGTTACTGCTGAACAAACCTGATGATGGACATGGGCCAGCGGTCAGTGAGGCCTGAAAGGACGTGATCTCAGAGCTGCCTTTGTCCGTTACATTCCTTTCCCTAGAATTTCAGAGTGCATGGATAGTGAGGCCGACACGGTCATGCAGCTCCGAAATGAGCTGAGAGACAAGGAGATGAAGCTGACAGACATCCGCCTAGAAGCCCTCAGCTCCGCACACCAGCTCGACCAACTCCGGGAGGCCATGAACCGGATGCAGGTGAGAGCGCCGGAGCGTGGGCCAAGCCCGCGGCTGGCTGTTTCCAGCCGGCAGACGGGTGGCTGCTCCCCGCCACACCGCAAGGCTCTTTCAGAACCTGACGGCAGCCCTCTGCTCTCCCAGCCTTTTTCTCTGTACAGGCCCTCCCACATATTGCTCAAAGACCAGTCTTTTAAAAGTATGAGAGTAACCCTCTCTCTCCTTTGTGCAAGACTTTCAGTGGCTCTGCTGTTGCCTCCTTGCCGGTGTCACAGTCTCCTTCACTTGGCCTTTAAGGCCTTCGTACAGGGTCCTTTTCACTCTTAATCCCCACCCACCACCCCACCCATTCCACTTCCAGACTCCCCTCGCCAGCCAGCGGGAGCCACTGACTGCACCCTTTACGTGCCCAGGAGTTTGTTTTGTAGCGTTCCTCCACCGGGATGTCTTTCTGCACATCCACCTGGACAATTCCCTTAGGCTCAGCCTGGTGCCTCTTCCTCTGCAAAGCCTTCCCAAGTCCCACAGCGGAAAGACTTAGTGCCCTCACCTGCATTCCTGTAGATCTGCCCTTATAGCTCCTCTCACCTCCTGCCCTAGATGGAAGGCATTTGGGTCTGCTGAGCTATTGTATGCATTCCTTTCTCTGGCTATAGCACCGATGCTTAGCACATAGTAGGTTCTTTATAAATTCTCATAGAATGAAAGGCCTTTGTGGGTTCTTCTAAATGTGACCTCACTGAAGAGCAGCATTTCCCAAAGGAAGCTCTGTGGAACACTCCTTCAATGGGAGACTCTGAAAGGACAGCTCCTTGATAGGACATATTTGGGAAATGCTGCTCACTACATGCCCCTCTCAGATTCACAGTGCATAGCAGCTCATTAAAGTCTCTGTCCTGCAGTAAAGAAACCAGCCAGACTTGGAGTTGCTCAAGCCACTTAGATAAGACTCCTTTTCACTTACCACTCAGACTTTGGGAAACATTTCTGAGGCCATTTCAAAGGCCAGCTCTCTGGAAGGATGGCCCCTCCCCTGATGGACAGGCCTCGTGACCACAACAAACACTGTCGCATCCCTGATGGTGTGATTTCCTCCACCTCAGCTGAGCTACCCACTTCATCCCTTAAGGGGACTTCCAAATCCCTCCTCCAGAAAAGGCTTGCTTGCATTATATCCACCCAGTCAATGAGCTTCTCTCTCACCCTTCGCAGAGTGAAATAGAGAAGCTGAAAGCTGAGAACGACCGGCTAAAGTCAGAGTCTCAAGGCAGCGGCTGCAGCCGGGCGCCCTCCCAGGTGTCCCTCTCTGCCTCCCCGCGGCAGTCCATGGGCCTCTCCCAGCACAGCCTGAACCTCACTGAGTCAACCAGCCTGGGTGAGTGGTGTCACAGGACTAGGGGCGGGAGAGCGCCTGCAGCTGGCACTTGGTCTCTAAGCCAGAGCCCCAAGATAAGCAGATCAGCAAATGGGGGGGGCAACAGGCGTGTGTGCACTTGGGGCGCGTGAGTGTGTCTGGGTGTGCGTCTGCTACCAACATGAGCCCAGCCGTTAGACTGCTGTCATGCTTTGCTCCAGCACCACAAGTTCTCCAAGCCATGAGCTCGGATCCCCTCGCCCACCATGCTGAGTTCTGTTTGATCCATTTTAAGAGGCTGACCTGCAAGCTGAATGCTGCATCCAAACCCCACAGCAGCAGGTCCCACTTGGGGCAACGGCTTGTTCTGTGATCCTCCTGCCTTTGGGCTGGATTCCAGGCTGGCGCAGTAATTAGCAAACATGGTCTAGATTTCCTTTGTAAGCGTATTGAGGCTGACGCTTTGATTTCTTATCCATGATGCTGCTGTTGCTATTTTGGTTGAGCCTCTCCCTCGCACTTCCATTTGGCAAGGTACATCGTCAGCCTGCTGGTTCCTTGGTTGGTCCACTGTTGGTTTATGTGGTTGCGTTCTCCATTCTGCCCTCTCCCCTCCCCTGCCACCCCCCTTTCCCCGCACCCCGACACCTGGTTTGTCCCGCTGCTGCGCCAACAAGCAGCGGGGGTGTCAGGAAGCCGGCTTTGCTTTCCCATGTGCCTAAGGCTGTTGATGTTTTCCATTCGCAGACATGTTGCTGGATGACACTGGTGAATGCTCGGCTCGGAAGGAAGGAGGCAGGCATGTTAAGATAGTTGTCAGCTTTCAGGAGGAAATGAAGTGGAAGGAGGTTAGTTGGATCCCTTTCCCTGCTCTGCTTGTCCCTTCCCCAGGTAGAACTACCTAGCATAGTGATTTTATCATCAAACCCTGTGTCTGTAACCTCAGCGCCTAAGAGATTTCGAAATACTACTAACGCTTTTCTTAACTAACAAGAATCCCCAGCAGCATTTTGACACAATTAAAGTGAGCGACTAGCCCTTCCCTCTCTTTTGTGTTTGGAAAGTCTGATAAAGAGTGGTAAAAACGGTCCTACATTCACTTCCGCACAACCAACTAAACACCAGCATCACTCAGCCATGGCTTTTCTGAATTTAATGTGTGCCCAAAGCATGTCAACAGCAGCTCAGCACATTTAGTACAGAAGGCACAGAAATAAGCTGACCAAGGGCACCAGTTTTATATCCAGTTGTCAGACTAGATACTAAGAGACAAAGGCGGCCAAGTCCAGGGCGCACACACTTGGCTAAAAGTGAAGCCGGTGGGACATCCTGGCTCACCAAGGCTGGGGAGGGGAATCTGAGTTTTCTGAGTGGTTTCTGTTCTCTTCCAGAGTCTCAGGAGGCCATAGCCCCAAAAGGGACTATTTTGAGGTAGAAGGGGGGTGGAACATCAAAGTGGATTTTTAGGCATTGATTAAATCCAACCGATGCTGTGAATGACCATCTCATCTCACCAACAAGTGGGACAAGGCTTCGTGAGTCACTGTCAGGTCTCCTTCAGTTTTTTGTTTGTTAGTTCTTAGCATTCTAGCCAACATGGCTACTGTAGTCTCTGAGAGCTAGGGAACCCGTAGTACCCACCAGAACAAAGTGTCCGCAGCCATACCTATCTTTGCCAGGGTTTCCACTTTGCAGCTGGAAGCGGCCAGGCCCAGAATTTTAGAGCTGCCAGGGGCTTTAGCATTAGTGCAGCCCAGAAAGATCCAATGAAGAGCTCCACCTGCAAAGCCGCTAGTAGAGTGATGGACTGTCGGGGGAAAATTCATTCTTAGAATAAATGCAGGTGATATCTGTGAATGTGTTTCATTCTAGTGAATATCAGCATGAACAGATAGATTTTTACATTTTACAGAAGTTTGAGTCACTTTAAAAAATGGTATGGTTCTGAATCATTGCAGAAGCCAGATGAGGTGGTTTGACCAAATTACTGTCTCCATTTTACAATTGGGAAAACTGCGCCCCAAGCATCACTTACTTAAGGTTACAAAGCAAGCGGCAGGGCCCAGTCATCTCACTGCAGACAGGTGCTCGTTTTCTCTGTTGATTTCGCTTGACTGCCAGATACACCCTGCTGCCTTGCCGCCACTCACCTAATTCTGTGTCCTTATGAGCATGTCCGATACTTTAAAACTCAACAGGATGGAATGTTCTGTTAGCTTCTTCTTAATCAATTTAATTAGGTGGCCCCACTGTGCAGAGCCCTGCGAGCAGAGAAGAAAAAGATTTTTCTGTTAAATTCCCAGTTTTATGAGTTTTCTCAAGTGAGCGTGTTTTAACTTTAAGTTAAAAAAAGATAATAAATGTTACTTTAAAAAAAAAGAAAAAATAGAAACATCTTCTATCCTGAAGGAGTTTAAGATCTAACAAGAAGACAATTTACAAATAAGACAGAAGTACCTAAAAATAGCCAATACAGAATATGTCATTATATAAGTTGTGTACAGAACCATCTAGCAGTGTGAGCCCTGAGCCTGGTGAGTTAATCATTGAAGGCTTCCTGGAAGAGGTGAGTTTGCAAGCAGTTTGGAAAAGACTAAATGGCAGACAGGAGAGGGGAGAGCATTCCAGGTAAGGGATATGATCTGTGCACTGTACGAGGTATGCATTTAATGGAAGATTCTAGATTCCAGAAAGGGGATTCTCACTTCCTGTCCCACAGATTGCTGTTTTAGCAATAGAGCAGTGAAAGTTTTTAAGACTGCTGCATTCGCTGTAAGTTATATTTGATGTTAAAAGAAATAGTACGTTTATTCCCCTCTCAAACCATTGGTGAAGTTCTGGGACAATCTGAGTCCTCGCTAAGCTGTGTCAGAAAAGATTCACCTGTTTTTTACCTGCATACATTTCTTTACCTTTAGGATTCCAGACCACACCTCTTTCTTATTGGCTGCATTGGAGTTAGTGGCAAGACGAAGTGGGATGTGCTCGATGGGGTGGTTAGACGGCTGTTCAAAGTAAGTGTTTCACGGAGACGGTGGTGGCTGTCTACCCGAAGCGGGGGCCTGGGCTTAGGGAGGGAAGGGTGGTTTGTGTCCTGGACCTGGCCATTTCTCAGGCCTGTCCTCTCTCCCATATCCTTATGTTGCTGGGACTTGTCCCCTGGCACTCAAATGATCAGAAGAAAGATGGTTAAGTACAGACTGCTGATTGGCTAAACTGCTCCCAACTGCCCTTTGCTGCCATTGGTGAGCCAATGAGTCATTTCTCCAGTGTCGAGCAATTATTTGAACCTCCAACAGTGAACTGTGAACGTCCCAATTCTACCTTCACCTTGGAAAGTGTCCAGTTGCATCTGCTATGGAGTGTGTGTTGTGCTCTTAGGCTAGGACTAAGACACCAGATTTCCATTCTTTAATTCGGGGGACTTGATCGACTTGCCCACAGCCTTGCCAACACATCACTCCGTGATTTGTGCTACAGGTGATGCTAACATCTGGTCAATGGCCAATGTCAAGGATGTTAACATAGTTATTTTTGTGTTTATTCTAATCACATCATTGGAGTGGTGTTGGCCCCAGGAGAAATAACTAATGAGTATTGAAGTGAGCCTTGAAATACAAAGTGGCTTAAGAGAAGCTTTTGGTACACTTCTTTCTTTTGTCGTGAAGTAAGTCAACAACTGTAAGCGTTCATTAACCATATCCCCTGCGCAGTACTAATTGCCCATGTTTTCTGTGCTTTATATTACCCCCATTTATTTTCAGGCCTGTGAGGAAGGTTCTATTATTTTCCCACTTAAAGGTGAAGAAGGTAAGGCTCAGATTGGGTCACCTGCCCAAAATCAGGAATCTAAAGCCAAACTATGTCGGCCTCGTTCAATTGGTCTGACTTCTCACTTAATTAGCACACTCCAGCCTCTTCTAGCATCTAGATTCAGGTGGCTTCACACAGAACATTCTATTCTTCGACCAGAGATCACTCATCATCTTCACAGGCCAGTCTGTAGACGTGCAAATAGGCAGGTGACAGTCATGGCGAAGGGCAGACCAATCCTGCTGCTCGGGCTAAAACCTTAGCTCTGCCATTGGGCAGTTGGACATCCTTGGATTAGAAAGACAACAGTTTGGGCTGAGAAGAACCTGTGGGCGATCACATGTGAGGAAATGTGACTATTAAAGGTAGAGGTCTGTTATTGGGGTGCCACCTTGACCTTTGTCTGGCCACCTCATGGCCCAAGTTCACTGATCTAAAGAGGGAACTCTTTCCAAATTCAGAAGGTGTATCCCTGTGTAAAGCTCCAGGAGCTGCTTTTCTATAGCAGCCTTGGGTTTTGCTCCTTTTGTCTTCTGTATGGTCCTTGCCCTGAGCCAAAAGAGGGGCTGCTGGAGAGATTTCTTACCTAAACTACTTTCTCATGAATTTTCCAGCACCATTCCCAGGTCCTGATGTCTTCAAGACTTCAGCTGAACTCAGGGGGAAAACAGCCTAACTTTTCCCTGCTTGGTTGACTCAGACTAAACGTTCACAATCTTGTTAGGGTTCCTCTGCACACCACCACACACACACCACTAACCAAATAAATCTGTACGTTACGAGGGCTGTGACGGTGAGGCACCTTCCCTATAGAAAGTCAGCTCTTCTCCCCCTCGTTCCACAGCTCGATATCGGCTCAGGCTGCAGCTGAGAAAGAAGAGATGATTGTAAATCACCCAATGAAAACATGAGTCATGGGCAGATTTTTTAGCCACATCTTTGATGGCGTCTTCATTTTATTTTTTGCAGGAATACATCATTCATGTCGACCCCGTGAGTCAGCTGGGGCTCAATTCAGACAGTGTTCTCGGCTACAGCATCGGGGAAGTCAAGCGCAGCAACACTTCCGAGACCCCCGAGCTTCTGCCCTGTGGCTACCTGGTGGGAGAGAACACTACCATCTCTGTGACTGTCAAAGGTAATTGGCAGACTGCAGAGGTCGGAGCTTTTGGGAACGGCGTTTACTCTGACTTGGCTCAGCCCACTATGGCCATAATTGCGTTTGTGCATATGGATGTGGGAGGTTGTTTTTTTCACCCCCTTGTCTGCAGTGATTCTTACCTAATCAAGTTAAACCTTCTTCAGCTTCCTCCATCACCATCAAAAACAAACAATTATTGCTGAAATTATAACAAACGGTCCCATTCGCCTGATGACTCTGAGATGGTGGAATCTTAATAACCTTGCAGAAGTGAGGCTCCACCACGCCAGTGGGCCGCTCCTGCCAGCAAGCCCTGGACGGGGTCCCATTCCACAGACGGGGAAACCACGATCTGCTGCAGGCGAGAGAGGCGTCACTCTGAGTCCCCAATGAACCTGCGGAAGCATTTGCCCACGCATGATGCTGCCGGCGCTTCCATAGCCTCATCGCCCAAAGATGTTAAGCCCCAGGCCAAAGTGTGTTTCATGGAACTCCAGGCCCGCAGAGGATTCTGTAGGGGGAGGAATGGATTTCATGGCAAAATAAGTCTCGGAAACTGCATCATCATTCCCCTGTGGAGTAGGGGATAGGAGTGTACTGATACACAAAAAAGGTTCTATCCTTTAATGCCCTAACTCTTAGCCTTCGGAAGGCTGTTTAATCCCGACTGACAGCAAAACCTCCATTTCCTGTATTTTATGAACCACCTAAAGAGTTGACCAATAAATACTGTACTAGGTGCAACCTTCAGGTTGCCCTGTTTCTTACATCCCTAGAAGGCGCTGATCTTAACTGTAGTTTTAACAGTGCAATTTTGGGTGTGTTCGATACAAGTTTTATTCCCAAATTGGGAGGTTTTCCAAGAGTACCCCAACATTCCTGATCAGCAGGAACCCCCATCTAGGCGGCTGGTGACCAGCAGTAAGGTGCTGCTTGAACCTCACACATAGCCTTACCTTGTTGGCAAGTGACATTCCGCAGGTGTGGCCTCGGACTGCCAATGACAGAGACTTAACTCTACACTAGCTTCAGCATCAAACACAGCGGGGTTCAGGTGTTCCAGGAGAGCCACCAGGACCGTCCGCTCTTGCTTTTTGAGCTCTCTGCACATGAAATGGCCGTGGCAGCCCTGATCCATCTTTCTAGCTTAGGAATCTAAAAGAAGGAGATTGTCTTTCTGGAAAAGTGTGGCAGAAAATTCTCAGGAGTGGTTCTGCTCCACTGTGAGTCAAATGCCCATCGCTGTATCGGTCACTGTGACCAGGGAGAGGCTTTGGTTCACCTTGGTCCTGAGTCCGCACCTGTGATGAATGAATGCGCTGGGTGAGCCATACTTAAACCACCTGGACTGCGCTCCCATAAGAAGAAAGCATTCTGCAAGGCAAAGGCAGAAAGAATACCAGGCACCCCAAAACTGCTCCCCACTATCAGCACCTCTGTTACACGTCATGGGCTCCAGTTGTGTTTTTTTCCACACTGGCGACTCTTGTTGTCGCTTACAGGAGAGCCTTGCAAGCCCTGAGGGGTAGAAAGAGTGACCTATTGCTGAGACCAGACCAAACCTCTGTAGAAACAGTGGTGACACTGTCAGTCCCTGGTGGAACATGCCACCCCACCCCAGAGCCTCATCTGTCACTGCTGTCAGCTCTTCCTGCTGTTTTAGCACCTCCAGGGATGGGCCCAGATTTATTGCTCACTGACACCTGACTCTTCTATTTTCCTGAAGTGCTTGAAATGTATGCCTTCAAGGCACTAAAAAAGCCAATCAAGGGTTTGAGTTGAAAGGTTTGTGATATGCAGATGGTTCACTTCAATGGTACCAGGAGAGGCGGGGTGACTAGGTCCGTTCTGAAGTGAGTTTGTCTACAAGTCACTGGGGGGGGGGGGGGGGGATTGTGAGCGGCGGGTAACAAAAAGTTGAAGCAGCAATGCATATTCAGAGAGAAGTGTTCTCATGATTTTCCCCTGCTGTTGTCAAGTTTAGACAAGTGGCCCTGTTTTCCATACTTTGCATCAAGGGTTGAGCCAGCGTGGCCTATATTGAACTCCATACCAGGAAAGTGCTGTGCCTGGAATATGAGTCACTTGGGAACCTTCATCATGGTTATTCTGGAACAGTCACTGCATTTAGGGGCTATTCTTGGTTGGGAGAGGATCAGAAACAAGCATATGAATGCATTACAGGAGTCTGCGGTATTATGTGGAAGGAAGATGCAATTTTTTTAAATGAATAAATGTTCTTTAGTTTATTTTTTACCTGCATGTAGTGGCTTTCTTGAGGTGAGTTTTTAATGGAAGTACCTTAGGCCCTTGAACAAGTAACCCTGGGTGCCTCTTCTCTTGGGCATGATATTGAGAAGCTAGCTCTTTTCAAGCCAGCAGCCTGATTAATGGAGTTGTCCCAGGTAGGAAAAGGGAGAGATGGGTTTCCTCTTGGTGCTGTTGAAGCTCAGCGGGAGGTAGCATTTCAGCCTCAGTCTGCAGGATTCACATCCCCTAATCAACTGGTCCTACTTTGCATTTGCTTGTTGTCACCTTCATGGTACATGTGAGTGTGGGAAGCAGTGGCCTGCACCAGGCACACAGGGGAGACCAGAGCAAGGAAAGAACCCTAGGGTGTTGGTAGGCATGGGAGAAGCGGGTTTGGTTTGGGCAAACACCATCAGTGTGGCAAATCCAGACAGACAAGCAGAGCACAGTCTTAGGGATTCTGCAGAGGACTGAGGGCTGGTATCTGAAATTCAGCCCAGCCAGGGCCAGAGCACACAGTGCTCATGAGCAGGAAGCAGCGGCAGTTTGCTCACAGCCTCCTGCACACCAGGGGCCTCGGGTGAGTGGGCTGCCCAGGAAAGGGATGGCCTTGTGTCATAGCAGCCCCAGCTGATCAAGCACAGAGCTCATCTTTCTACAGGGCTTCACACACTTTCTGTCTCTCCAACACAGGGCTCGCAGAAAACAGCCTGGACTCGCTGGTGTTCGAGTCTCTGATCCCCAAGCCCATCCTGCAGCGCTACGTCTCCCTGCTGGTAGAACACCGGCGGATCATTCTCTCTGGCCCCAGCGGCACGGGGAAAACCTACCTGGCCAACCGGCTGTCAGAGTACCTGGTGCTTCGGGAGGGACGGGAGCTGACAGACGGGGTCATCGCCACCTTCAACGTGGACCACAAGTCCAGCAAGGTGAGGAGGAGGTCTTTTGGAGACTGCCGCCCAGCCAGGGGTCACTTTTTGGCCCTTTCAGAACTGTTGGTGAAGCAGCATTTTCTACGCTTGCCTTTGAGGGTTATAATAGCCCCATGAGGGAGGTCAGGATTGGGGCTAGCAGAAAGTAAGGCTTTGACCCGAACTTTCTGCTAAAACGTTCCATCTGTAAGTCACTCTAGTTCATTTCTTACTTCTCCCATGAGCCACATGCTCATAGTTCTTTAAGATCAGGTTACATGACTCCACTTCAATTTACCAATAATTTAGCGTGTGCCTACTGGTGCTATTGGTTTTCTAAAATGGAACCTTTTTGGGAAGATGGATAACAACAGCTCACATTGACCGCCGCTTGCCCTGTGACAGCTGACTGGCCGCCTCATGGCGATTCACCATTCAGGGAGCAGTTGCTACTCATCCCCGTTTCACAGAGGAGGAAACTGAGGCTGGAGGCAGGGGGTCGTGTGTCTAAGGCTGCTCAGACGGTACTGAGAAGTGGACTGGAGCTCAAGTTGAAGCCTTGGACTCCGGAGCCAGCAAACAGGCTTGACCCTGCTTCTTCACAGGGAGCGCCTGACGTCGTCCCAGCTGTCATCCCAACTGAGGGTTGAGAAGGGCTTTCTCACACCTGCTTGTCATTCACACAGTGGAGTTCGTGGGCAGTTCCCCAGGCCAGCCCTTTGCAAAGGGGCCAGAGAGTCACAGTGAACCGGAAATGGGGATTCCTAGACCTCGTTCCCATGTAATCTGTTTCAGTAGGTTGTGTGGGTCAGGAACAGGTGCCATTCACAAGTTTCGCAAGTGACTCTGATGTGAGGGCAGGACTGGAGAGAAGCGATCTGAGCCCCAGTGTTGAGAGCTTCTGTGCGCGTGCGCCGGGGGAGGGCGTTCTCCCCAGGGCCCCCGGCTGGGCCCCTCGTGCAGAGTGCACAGGACAGCTCACCAACTAAGGCAGCAGGGGAGCGAGGCCCAGGAGCTCTGTCCTTACAAGGCTGAGGCCAAGAACCCAGTTGGGAGGGGGCTAAAAGAAGGAAAAGTCGCTAGTAACTTAAAAACTTGGACTTTTCCTGTTGCATGCCAGCCGCATTTTGACTTACCTGGGTTTGTGTGTGCTTACAGGAGGAGGCGGCTGGCATCGCGGCCAGTCTGGTGTGGGGAGCACACTGAACAGGCCCTGCTGCTTGTCCTCTGGGCAGCCGCAGGCCAGTCCCCTGACTTGGAGGTGCCTCAGTTTCCCTCTCTGTAAAAGGGAGCTAGTTGTAGCGCCCACCTACCAGTTGAGGGTGGCTGTAGGCTGCAGCAGTTGCCTATGTAAGGCCCCGGGAGCTGTGCCAGGCGCTAGGTCATGCCAGCTGTCATGAAGATAGTGATCTTACCCGGCAGTCACCCTGGGTCCTCTGGCTGGTCCTTAACTCGCCATTTCAGCCTTTTCCCCTTGGCACCATTATTCTTTCTCTTCCTTTCCTGGCACACAGGCCTTAACCCGGTGGGTTAAATCCAAAGCTTACCCTTTCAACCAGACCTCCCAAGGCCCCCCTGTGCATGGAGACCCATCTCCCCCTCATTGCTGGTTGTCTCTCTGCCACGGCAGTGATCGGGGGGCGGGGGGAGTGTGTGTGTGTGTAGCAGGGCTCTGCTCTATTCATTCATTGAGGGCTTCTGTACATACAGCAGGCATCGTGGAAGACCACCTTATACAGAATCTGTATAGCTTATACAGAGATGTGTAAGGCACCTGCCCTTGGGAGCGTCCTGGGAGGTTGGCATAATAAGAAATATCCAAGAAAAATGATAACACTTACAGAGAAGTGGTGGGGCGGGGACATAGAACCAGGTCTGGGCACCCTCCGCAGTGCTGTGCTCTTGCCCTGGGCTGAAAGTTTCCTGGTACCTAGTGAGCACCCGAAGTCAGGGCCCAAGCCTCCCCCACCCCCTGCCCACTCCCTTCCCCAAGGCTGGGCCCCTGCAGCAGGCAGGCGCGCAGCCCGGGAGAGCCCACGCCCTGCGTCGGCCTGGGCAAAGTGAAAGCTCTGAGCGTGTGCGTCTTCACTGGGTACATTCACCCTCTTATTCTTCCCCGGCCTGTGCAGGAGTTGCGCCAGTACCTGTCCAACCTTGCCGACCAGTGCGCCAGTGAGAACAATGCTGCGGACATGCCTCTTGTCATCATCCTGGACAACCTGCATCATGTCAGCTCTCTGGGCGAGATCTTTAATGGGCTGCTCAACTGCAAGGACCATAAATGGTAAAGGCCAGCTCTGGGCCTCCTGGTCCCTGGGAAAACGGCCGCACGTGACGTGTGCTGCATGGGTAGCTGTGCACCTGCATGGCTGGCGTCAGCGTGGGGGGTGGGGGAGGCAGCCAGCCATCTGCCTAGACACGGAGCCCTCAGGCATCGGCTAGCACCCCGTTCTCGAGCTTTGCTTTTGACTCACAGAGCTCTCTTTTCCTTCCTGCCCCCGACAGCCCTTACATAATCGGCACAATGAACCAGGCTACCTCTTCGACTCCCAACCTGCAGCTCCATCACAACTTCAGGTAAGGTACTGGTTTCTGAGTACCTGTTCTATGCCTGGCATTGTGTCGAGCATTTTTCTCTGCTTAATTAACTTTTAAGCCTCACAACAGGCTCGTGTAGTTGCATTTCTCACTGTCAGCTTACAAATGGGGAAACTGAGGCTGGGAGACTAACTCTTGTGAGGTCACGCAGCCGGTCAGTGGTCTCCGACTCTAAGTCCTGGGGCGGCAGAGTCAGGGAGGCAGCTCCGGGCAGGGGATATAGGCACACTTGCCTCCCCTGCACGTCACCAGAGGCGCGACTCTGGCCCAAGTGAACATGAGCAATGAAAGTTCTTGCTTCTGAAGGTCCCCACAGAGCTGAGTCTGTGGGCCTCTCAGTTCCAGCTGCTGTGCATCCCTCTGCCCCAGCGCCACCCGGGGTCCCCCCTCCTGGGCTGTGGGAAGGGCTACCCCTCTGTGTCATGCCTGTGCGTGTTGCCAGCTTGCCTGCCATCACTAACTGCCCTTTGCCTCTCACTCTGACTCCCAGCTGACCCTGCCCCCTCCCCTCCCGCTGGGCCCTTGGATGAGACCGAGAAGCCCTGTCCCGGGTGGAACCCCTTGCTCATTTTCACTGGCCGCTCTGCAGGCATCTCTGAGGGTCATCTTTGAAAGTCGGCCAGGACTATCATGATCAGAGAGACGTGAACTCCTTCAGGCCACGGAGATCATGGCTCATCTCCACATCCCGGCTGCCCACGTCACGTCCACGCTTTCTCCAAAATGTGCCTCAAGTCCTCCGCCTTCCCCCGTCACTGCCACATCATGTCCCCAGGACCACTGCGCCCACTTCCTAACCAGAGCATCCTGGCATTCAAATCTGACCATAAACCCCAGGCTTAAAGTCCTTTAGTGGTTCCCCACTGCAGAATGGCATTCAGACCCCTTGGGATGGCAGATTCAGTCTAATGTCTGGTTACACTGGACCTCTGACAGTTTCCCCAGACACCCTACACTACTTCTCATGTCTCTGCAAATACTGCAGCAAGCTCTCTCCTGCCCCCACCCCGCCCCACCTCCTGCTCCTGCCTCTCCCTGTGTGGCTGCTCTATCCATTCTTCCAGTCTCAGCCCAGACATCCCCTCCTCTGCAGAGCCTTCCCCGATTCCCCAGGCTTCACCACATCTCACTTCTTGATTTGCTTATCTGCTTCCTCCTCAAGACCGCCCGATCCTGGGGACTGGGGACAAATGCGTCTCAGTCATTGGTACAGCTCCAGGGCCCAGCACAGGGTCTGACACGAGCAGAGGGGCAGGGGGCTCAGTGGTTAGAGCTCAGACTGTGGAGCGGTACTGTCTTGGTTCTACCCTTAGCTCTTCCATTAACTTGCTCTTTGATCTTGGACAAGTTACGGAACCTATCTGTATGTAGTATTTCTATCTGTAAAATGGGAATGGTGATAATAAATATGCCATGCGGTTGCCATGCGGAATTGTGAGTTAGTAAACGTGGTGTGTTTGGCACAGCACGTCCTGTTTTTAGTATTAGTACCTACACTGTCCATCTAGATCTAATGTGTTTTGAATCTTGAGGTTAGCCCTCATTTTTATCACTGTCATAATCATTGAAAAGCATTCCCGACCTCCCCCAGGTGGGTGCTCTGTGCCAACCACACGGAGCCCGTGAAGGGTTTCCTTGGCCGGTTCCTGAGGCGGAAGCTCATGGAGACGGAGATCAGTGGGCGGGTGCGGAATGTGGAGCTGGTAAAAATCATCGACTGGATTCCCAAGGTCTGGCATCACCTCAACCGCTTCCTGGAGGCTCACAGCTCCTCAGATGTCACCATAGGTAGGTGGGAAACCAGGCGAGAGTGGGTGGGTGGGCGGGCGTGTAGGCTGGCTGGCCGGCCAGCGGGAGGCCCTCAGCTCAGGCCTCCTCAAATCTGTCCTGGGTCTCTGGCCGGAACAACACTTTGCAAGCACCAGGCAGCTAGGCTGTGTGCTGTTCACGCGGGCAGAGAGACACACACGTCCCAGTGCTGTGTCTCTGCCCCCTTGCCCTGCCCAGTGTGCGGGGGCAGATCAGCAGCAAGAGATGCGTCCAGCCTGGGTCAATGCAGAAACTGCCCAGCTCAGTGGCGTGCGCACCCTGCTCCCCCAAGTGAAAGCTACCCACCAACTGGGACTTGTTCTACTTTGAAAATAGAATAAAATGTTACCAACATTCCTGAAGCTTAAAGAGTGAGAACAGAGAACAAAGGGATCATTGATCATCCCACCATCCTGACATAATTATTTTTAATTTAAGCTTTTTGGGGGGGCCCTATTCATACATAAATATTGTATGTAGATGCCATTATAGTATACCTACAGTATGTTCTTTTATTTTTCCCTTCACATTATCTCGTGAGCATCCTGTGTTGCTATTCCAGTTTTATAATTATGTCTAAAGGCTGAAAAAGTATCACATGTTGGGTGCACCAGCATGGCTTAACTATTTCTGTTCTCTTGGACATCTAGTGTTTGCATTTTCAAAGATCAGGGTTCATAACACCACAAGTGAACATCTTTTCGCCACAAAGGCTTTCCTCTCGGGGGTGATTTCCTGGGCAGAGAGGTCCGAGGCTGGGGTTATAGAGCCCAAGTGTCCTGCTGTGTGGCCACGACCTGGCAGCTGGAATTTCTGCTGTCACTCAGAACACCCAGGACTGTGGCTTCTCCTGGTCCTGCTCCACAATTCAGCCCTGAATGATTTTCATTGCACCCCCAGGCCCCCGGCTCTTCCTGTCCTGCCCCATCGACGTGGATGGCTCCAGGGTGTGGTTCACCGACTTATGGAACTACTCAATCATCCCCTATCTCCTGGAAGCCGTCAGAGAAGGGCTCCAGGTGAGAAGCACACCACCTGCTGGCCTCCTCAAAACTTGGGGCGGGGGACGGGTACTGTTCCGGGGACCAGATGAGCTGACTTCACCTCTTCCTAAAGATCCTGACTGATACGAGGCAACAGCCCTTCACCTGTGAGGCCATCAGTCTAGCACAGAGTAGGGACACACTTGGCTGTACATCTTGGCTCTGCCGCTTGTTAGCTGTGACCCCAGGCAAGCTGTTAGGCTACCGCGCCCTCACCGATAGAGAAGGAGAGTTATGGTACCCTGCCACAGAGGAGGTGTTGCAAGCGTTAAATGAAATCCTGACTGCACTGTGCTCAGCACTGTGAGAGCAAAGAAACGGAAGCAAGTGTATGTGTAGCGCTTCGCAGTTGACGAAGCACTCTCACATCTGCTGTTTGGTTCAAGCTCTGTGTGAGTCCTGGAACGTAGAGATTTTTTCATCTCCATTCTTCAAAAGAGGAAACTGGCGTCTCAAAAGAGAATAAGTGACTTGCCCAGGGTCATAAAAGTAAACCTGGAAGATCAGGGATTTGCGTCCAGGCCCCTCTGACCTATTTTCCAGGTTCTCGGCCCTGCAGCAGCTGAAAAGCGCAGCCTCTTCACTCTCACTCCGCCCAGAGCTGAACTGCAGGAGCTCAGCAGTAAACAGGGCTTTACACGGTTTTATTGTTGGGCCCGGAGGCAGCCTGAGGAGTTCTCACACTGAGAAATTAGCAGGCATTATGCGCCTGCTGAATCACCCAGGAACCAGTTTCGCTGCAGGGTATCCTGGGGCTTCTCGCTTCCTCAGTCCTGGGCAGTGGGAGACGCAGAAGCGGTTGCGGGCCTGTGGAGGTCGCGGAGGGGTGCACACCACACGCGTGTGTGTGACAGTACACATCGGCGGCTGTCTGTCCCTTCTGTACATTCCGCTGAGCCTGCCGAATGTTTGACTGCTTTGTCAGTAAAGTGTGGCAGCACTGATAAGTCCTAGAGGCCTTCAGGACACCACGAACTTGAAAAGGGACAAGAAACCAGAGATATGCTGCCACCTCTTGAGACTTGCTAGTTCAGTGTGAGGCATGGGGTCATCCCTTCCCTGTGCTGTGAGGTGATCTGAAGGACAGTATTTCAAGAGTGTGGGAGCACCCAGGGGAGGGAGCCTGAGTGAGTGTTCTGCCAGTTTGCTCCAGAATGAGCCACCCTGCCTCCAACCTGTGACCTCATCACCCTGATGAGCCCCGAGACCCTCATAGCATCTGCTGATTCCCAGAGAAACCCAGTGTGTTCTTTCTAAGCCTCTGGTTTCTAAGGAAAGTTTGCTGACGTCTTGAGAGCCTGCTGCTTGCCAGGCACTGTGCTGGGGGCCTGACATGCATGATCTCATGTAGTTTTCATGGCTCGGTACACACCTTACAGATGAGGAGACGGAGGCGCACAGCAGCTTTAACCCTTACCCGAGTTTATTCAGTGGGGCGTGATGAGCCAGGGTGGGAGCCCAGGCCTAGCCGACACCCGGGTTACTTCCATGACTTCCAGGTGGCCCTAAGGAAACCCCCTAGCTGCACCCAGAAGCTTCGGGTGGTTCAGGGAACCAGGGATTGTGGTTCATGTTGTGGAGCTATGTGTCAGATTTCATTTGACAAAAGGATCCTCCATTTAAAAAAAAAAAAGTTTAAAATTCCCTACTCTCCTTCCTGTCACATTGATTCATTCCATGCTCTCTATGTACTGAGCACCATGCGGGCCATTTCCCCCCCACCTGGCTCTGCTAGGTGAGTAGAGTGGGCAGGAAGGCAGCCCCCTGTGGCTCAAAGGAGGTAAGCACTTGGCCAAGGTTATAAGCAGGGAGGAGGTAGGGGCTCAGAATGGACTCGGACAGGGCCGCCTGTGGGGATGGGGCCGCACAGAGACCCTGCCCAGATCTGGACTATCAGACTCCTGGGCGGCCCCTCCGCCAGACACCATCCTTTCCCAAGGAATTGTGTCAGTGCCCCCTAGGGGATACCAGATGCCTCTGCAAGCCCTGGCTGCAGAGTACTTCTCCCAAGAGTGTGTGTGGGGAGTGGGAGTGTAACTGCTTGGAGGTTTTTCCTGAACGTGTGCCTTGATTCCTCCGCGTGCGCTGCACAAGTGCATCCCACAGGGTCAGAGGCTCGCAGTGGCCCGGGTTTTAGTTGCTAATGTGTTGGCTCCCTGCTCCCGACGCAGAGGGGATGCCAGGCTCCTCCTTGCTGTGGTGAGAATGAAGATCCTGTTTGTCAGTCTGTCTGTCCGGTTGTCTCCGCTGCTTCTTAGAGCTGCCGCAGGGCTCTGCACTGGGGCCGAGGAGCTTCACAGGATTTCCTTTACTTGACACGGTACTTACCCAGCCATTCATCACCTAGACTTGAACATGGCCAGCGGCAAGTGGGGAGGCTTGTAAAAATATTTCCTGTTCTTGCAGATGGTGTTAGCATCTGCCTGCTGCACATTTGTCTCATGAGTCAGTCCCCGGCCCTGTTCCCCTTTGGAGTTGTCATTGCAGACGCTTGCCAAAGTGTCTGGTCTACAGAATAACTGGAAGGACCTCCGTGCCCCTGGTGGACGGGAGAAGAGGCACGTAGGACACTCTCACCAAGTACTTGAAAACCACTGGGCCAGATTCTCTCTGAGGACTTGATGACCTCCAGGTTCCAAGCCTCTCTTATCCTGCAGCCCTGAGCCTCTCCTCCAGGCTGGAGGCTGGAGACAGAAGCAGTGGCTGTCAGAAATGGGGACTTGGTACAGCCTCACCCGTGTGAAGCCTGGCTCGGGAAAAGCAACCCAGTTCCATGGGGAAAGCCCTTGGAGGGAGATGCTTCTAAAAATTGCAGGAATGTTCCTAATCTGGAACCGTGGAACAGCCTCCTTCAGTTCTAAATATCCCCAAATGTTCGTGGTGCCTTCCTCCCTGACATGCGCACGTGCACACGCCACCTTCACATAGTCTGGCCTAGACTCAGCACTGCCCCAGGTTAAGGGAGATTTAGCAGCACACCGGGCCGGAGTGCTAGATGGCAGGGAGGCAGGGGGTGCTGGTGTCTGAGAAAACAGTGAGGTCGTAGGAGGCTGTGTCTGTCTGGAATGGAGGAGGAAGCAGCCACTACTGAAGAGAGATGCGTGGGCCCGTCGGCAGGGCGGGCAGCTGGCTTCCCTGACAGAACTCATACAAAAGGTCAGAGGTGGCATAGGCAGTCATGACATGGCTGCAGGGGACAGCAAGCCCAGCCCAGCTTGACGGGTCCTCATCTGGAGTCTCGGGAGGGGTACAGAGGGGAAAGGCCCAGACGAGGACGCTGGGGTCCTAGGTTTGAATCCAGCTCTGCTCCGTAACCTTTCCCAACTGGCTCTTCTCATGAGGCCACCTGTGACTTGGAAGGACATGGTTTTGTCAGTCAGAGCTCAGCCCTGTCCTGTTGTCAGCACCTTGGCCTCTCTCCCCCATCAACTGTGGGAGCCCTGGGAGGACAGAGGGAGCAGACAGACGGGCAGGTGCTGGTCCTGGTGTAACCCTCCTCTGGAGCCCCAACCACGGCCACTGCGGTGCAGAAGTCTTTGATCCTTGTTCCCTATGGTCCCCAGTGGAGAAGGGGCCTCGGCCAGCACTGCCCCGGGGTGGGAACATCTTGTCCTGGCTGTGAGCCCGTCCTCCCACATCTGCTCAGACTCCGGTGGCGCGTGGAGTGGGACAGACTTGAATTCCCGTTCTGCCTCCTCCTCCCTGAGCCTGTCTCCTTGTTTGGCAAACCCGGGTCGGAATTCTCCACCCTGGAGCCACACAGTGGTAAACCAGGCAGCGGTGGAGGTGGAGAGGAACGGTACAGGCCACGCCTGGCTCCATCAGGTCCAGAGCCTCACCTTGGGAAGCGGGGCAGCCTTTAAGAGTCACTAACATCATTTTATGAAGAAGGCTTAAGAAAAAGAGCATGGAGGCATGGTAGTAGTCGTAAAAAAATTAAGTATAATACAGTTTTCTGTTTTAAGAGCAAATTAGTTATTATGGACAACTTTGGGAACTGTATCAGAGGGAGAAGCACCAGCCACGTGTGACCTCTGTCAACAGTTTGCCCCTTTGAAAGTGACCAGTGCCTTTACAGAGGGGCTCCGAGAGTCACAGGAAATGAGGTTTTCAAAACGTAGCCACCTGCGACCTCTGCCTGTGGTGCTGGTGGCTGGCATCCAACCCGTGGGGGAGGAGTTCTTTGAGTGGTGCACGCAGTCGCGTGCGGGAGCTGTCTCGCGAGCTCATAGCCAGCACCTCTTCCCAGCTCCACGTGCAGTGACGATGTGTGGGTAGTTTGAAATCAGCCATTGTGGGATTACTTGTACCACAATGAGCTGGCAGATGCTTCAAACCTGGTGGTGGGTTTTTCCCCCCAGAAACTACTCTTCAGGTTGGATTGACTCCAGCTTGGAGATTCCAAGTGCAGGGTAACTTAGTGAGCCGGCGGCCGAGCTGAGGTGTGAGCCCGGGTCAGCCTGACTGCAAAGCCGGCGTTCCTCACCCCGGGTCGCGCTGCCTTCAGTCTTAGCACATCAAGCTATGCACGTACCTCGGATGGCTTCCTTAGGATGACATTCCGGAAGGGGAATTACACTGTCAGGGGAGGCACGGGCTGGGTCTGGGGAGTTTGTCAGGTGGCTGCAAAATCAGGGCTGCAGAAGAGGTCTGCGCCCCCTTCCTAACTATGCCGTCTTTGCCGCCTTTTAGCTCTACGGAAGGCGGGCGCCCTGGGAGGACCCTGCCAAGTGGGTGATGGACACCTATCCCTGGGCGGCCAGCCCGCAGCAGCATGAGTGGCCTCCCCTGCTGCAGCTGCGACCTGAGGATGTCGGCTTTGACGGCTACTCCATGCCTCGGGAGGGCTCCACGAGCAAGCAGATGCCCCCCAGTGATGCCGAAGGAGACCCGCTGGTGAGTGCTCAGCGCCCAGAGGAGCTCAGCCATCACTGAGCACTTACTGTACATTGGGCATGAAGCAAGTCCTGCTGGGAACATAGATGTGACTGAGTCCTGGCCTTGCTTTGGAAGGCTGGACCCATTGCAAGCCTTGGGACACTTTTGCCAATATTTTCTTCCATGGTTTTAGTTTTTCACTAAAATCTTTAACCCCTCTGAAGTAGTTTGTGGTAGAAGATCAAAGATACAAATTGATTTTTCCCTCTAAGAGTCCCTACACTGGTTGTCTCTACACTACTCCCCGCCCTCTGATCTCAGGGCCACCTTTATCATGGAGTCCTGCTCCAGTGACCTCTCCCACTAGCAACGGAGCAGAGGCCGAGCTTGCTAAGGAGCGGAGCCCGGGCCAGATGATCAGCAGCACAGTCAGGGAGGGGTCTGCCGGCAGCACAGCCTCCGTGCGGGTTCCCCGGCCAGCGAGACCAGTTCAGTCCTTCACGTTGCTGGAGCCGCTTACTTATTCTGCCATTGCTAAAGCAATAAGGACCCTTTAAGAAGAACCTGGGCCAGTGATGATAACACTGCAGTTATAATACAGTAAGTCCTCACTGAACATCATCAGTAGGTCCTGTGACTTAAAGTAAAACCACATGTAATAAAACCACTTTTATCAATTACCACAGGCTAATTAATATAAATAAGAAGTAAGGTCCTGCGGCATTTCATCAATATTACCATGAAAGGATTTTATTTATTCGAGGACCTGCTGTACTGTCTCTCTGTCACTATAAGATGTATACATAGTCATACTGCAGCATTAGACCTAACAAAGCAAAAGCCCTATAAAATGCCCTGAAAGCAAATATACCAGAGCCTGCCATGGTTAAATACTGTCACCATGCCTTACGTTGAGCCCTGAGCTCCCTTGGCCACTAAGGCAAAAGGGGAAGCGCCTCAGACACTGTTACTCGCTCTGCCTGGTGAAAGAAAACATTCACAAGTGATGCAGCAGGATTAAGACAACCCATCTGCTGTTCTCCCCCTAGTGACTAATTGATAACGCTAGATTTAAAAATAGCAGTGGGTTTTCCGGTTGTATGCCATTCTTGTGCCCGGATGGAATGGATCCGTGGTCCTGTTGAGACTTTTTTAACAGGAACGGTATTTTAAATGGATTTATTTGTGTTGCGATGCACAACCTAATTTGCAGTATTTATAGTAATGGTTTTACAGAGGAAAAGGTCCAGCTTTTTAAAAAGGCTTTCTTAATGTTAACCATGGCTAAAATCCAGAGTCATGGAGATATTTTTATGGATGCAAGCTCATGAGGTCTTCCGTAAAAATAGAATGTAGGATGGCTGGCTCGTTCTGGACATTCTTTCTTTACCAGGAATGTTTGCATCACTGATTGAACACAGAAGGTGTGGAGGTAAAACCTGAGATTCGCAGAATGCTCCTTCCAACCCCAGGTCCCCAGAAGTGAGCCACCCCCGCTTACCCACGTGGATGTTTGGTATTTCTCCCAAGTCCACGCTCCCTGCCCAGCGTCATTGGTCTCTTGGTATCATAGCGCTCTTGTTTACTAACCTCTCTTCACATGAGACTGAGACCTCCAAGAGAGCAGGACTTATGTATGTGTATTCCAGATCACGTACTTTAGCTGTACCAGGAACATTGATGAGTGAATAAGTAATCTCAGCTGCAGAGGGTTGGTTACTGCATTTCTGCCCCACCCTCCCCCCATTACAACTGGACGCTAGGCTCACCCAGGGGGACTGCTGGACATCCTGGGGGCCAGCTGGCAGGGACAGCTGGCTTTCCTGCCCAGCAACGCCAAGCCCCAGCCTTAGCTCAGAGAGACCCTATCTTCCTCACTTACTTGCAAGATAAAATATAAAATACATACATGCACAATTTATAGTTATAAATAAAAGTACTTTTTCGTTCCCCATCTCTTTCCCAAACAGATGACAATAGAGACTGTCTATCAGGGAATATTTAAGAACACTCTTTAAACTCTTTCCCAATGATGATGATGATGATAGCAGCAGCAGATCGCATTTATGGAACACTTACATTGTGCCAGGCCCCATTCTCAGGGCCCCATACACATTATGTCATTTTGTTTCCTCCTTCAGCCCTAGGGCAAGGGGGCTGCTATTCTCTCCAGTCTAGAGACGAGGAACTGGTGGGTCAGACGCATGAGGTAATTTGTCCAAAGCTTCCTGAATCGGACTCCCGGCCTCTGATTTCCGTGGCTCTGCCTGCTCCTGGCGCTGTCCTTGTCCTCCCTGGGAAGGCTTGGGCGGCAGCTGGTGTACAGATGAGCTCAATGCTTATCCAAGGGGGAACGCTGTGCTTTGGAAGTCAGGGTGCTGGTGAACGCGTTCCAGAAGTAGGGGCACTTGTCTGCACCTTTACCCAGGCTCGGGTGGGGTGTGCCCCTCTCAAGTAAAAAGAAGTATCATATTGATGATATAAGGGCTTTTCTGTGTTGTTTCCAGTGCTCTGCATATATTAACTCAATCCACACCATAATGTTATAGAACAGGTACAATCATTATTCACATTCGACCAATGAAGACACTGAGACACAAAGTAAGTTGTCCAAGGTCGTGCAGCTAGCTAGTAAGTGGGGGAGCCCGGATTTGAACTCTGGAAGCCTGGCCCAGGGCCCAAGCTCTTGTCCACTGTCTCTGCTGTGGGCTGCAGTCCCAAGGTGAGTTTGGAGGAGGGGGCGTGAGCTTGAGAGAAACCAGGGGTGGGCAGCAAACGGAACAGAAAGATGCTCACACTCTCTGCTCTTTTCAGATGAACATGCTGATGAGGCTGCAGGAGGCAGCCAACTACTCCAGCCCGCAGAGCTATGACAGCGACTCCAACAGCAACAGCCATCACGACGACATCCTGGACTCGTCCCTGGAGTCTACTCTGTGACGGGGGCCTGGCCACGGAGCCTGCCCTCCTGCTCCCCTCCTCCGCCTCCCCCCGTCCTCACCCCGCTCCACCTCCATCCCCCTAAAGATGCCCTCCTGAGCCAGCCCCAGCCGCAGCATGAGCGCTGCAGGAACACCAAGACCCCTCATCCTCCAGCCTCGACCTGGGTGCGGGCATCCCGGGCCAGCCGCCTTGGGACTGCTTCCTTCCACAGTGAGAACTGCACTATCTTCGGTTTTATTTTAATTATTGTTTTTGCCTTGTTGCTGTGACCTCCCTAAGACACTGAAGATACTTCTCGGGAAAGGATCATCACCGTTGAAATGCAAAGGGTTAATAATGAAAACCCCATTCAAAGCTCTGAACCCAAACAGCATCCTGCCACGAGCTGCCCAGAGACAGACAAGCAAAGTTGGAAACAGAGAGCACAGACCCAGCAGACCGGGTCTGGCCACCAGCTGCGCCACATCCCCTCCAGCCTGCCCTTCCACCCAGCCCGCCACGGAGAACTGGTGCTAACTAGGCACTTGCTTTGGTCATGCAACAAACAACGGAGCTACAGCACAGGGAAACCTTAGGAAAAAACAACTCGTGCTTTCTGTATTGTTTTGTTCTCTAAATGGTGCTCTCCTTGCCCGAGAGGTATTTGTGCCTGTTTCAGTCCAGCCACACCTTTCAGACCCGCCAGCCTCCACTGAGCCCCTGAGCGCGAGTGCGGAAGTGAGAGTGTGCCCGAGCGGATGTGCTACAGTGCAGACAGCATGTGTCTGTCTCCTTCGCAGAGAGAAATGAATCAGGTTTTTTGTGTTTTTTTTTTCCTGCAAACACTGTGTACAGTGAGAGTTGGTCTACTTTGGAAAACTGATGACCCCTTTGAAAATGAGGTTGAGTTTCTCCCTTTCTGACTCTTTGGTTTTGAAGATTTTTCTCCCTCCCCACTTGGTCAGAATCAATCCTTTGGTGAAAGTAAGAGCCGCAGGAGTTGAGTTTTGGTTTGGTCCTGCTGAGTTTCGGTTTTCAGTTGTCCATCTCACAGATCTACACACGCGCCTCCTCCGGCCGGGGCTGGGGCAGCTACGTCCTCTCAAGTGGACCAGGACCCCCATCCTCGCCCTGTGGGTGAGCCAGGATCTTGCCTTTCCTTCTGGTCCTCAAGGCTTTGAAACGCACGTCGACACCCTACGCGTGCCAGCCCCAACCTCAGGTGGGGTGGTGAGGTCACCTCGCGAAAGACTTGCACTTTTCTCAGAACCAACATGATGCAACTCAACAAGGGGGTGGCAGCCGCTCCCTCCCGGAAGCCCCAGCCCCGGCCTCCGTCCGGATGAGCCTTGCCTGACCTCTTCGGTGCTGACCTTCCCAAAGCGATGCCTTACTGGTTTTGTACTAACTGTGTTCGTGTGTGAGTGTCATGCCTGTCTGGGGTCGGTTTTTTTATTTTCCCCGTCAGAGCAAACAGGGCTAAAACGTCATCTACTCATTAGGAGAACTCAAGTTGTTGTGACTTTTATCTCATCCGAAAGACTCATTTGTGTGGGTGTGTGACCATGGGAAAAAGAAAAAGGGGGAAAAAAAAGATCCATTTTTTTAGGTCCTTAGCAGTCTCCAGCTAACACCTAGGCAAAAGTTCCTACAAGTCTACATGACATTGCTGATACATGCTGTGCTACTCTGTGTCTTCAGCATCCTGGTATTTTCTTTACAGAGTGTGATAAATCTTTCAGTTGTTTGTTTCTGTTTTATAAGGAGAATCTTTGTTTTACCCCAGTGGGGGAGTCTCTGTGAAAGATCAGGGTTTTTATTCCATCTCTACATTTCTGTTTCTGAAGGTTTCTCTCTGTTTTCTTATTACCACAAGAGCTTGACCCGAAACTGCTCACATTACATCGGATGATGCCATTTCTTTTTCCTCCTTAAAGGAAAAAGGGAATTTGTCCCACTGACTAGTAAATGGAAAACCTCTCGACACCTCCCCTGTTTTAATCTCAGTCAACTCAGACTCTATTCTGCTAAGCCTTCATTAGTCATCTGGGTGTGTGAGCATGTCTTATTCTGTTTTGTTTCTCATATAATTTTTTAAACCATATATTTAGTCTGTGATCATGGGCCAAACCCTGAGCCTTCTGGTAGACCTGAAGAGTGGCCCTTCTCAATTTATCTCCCTGCATTGACCTTACACTCATACTGTGAATTTGGGAGGAGGTAAAATTGACTTTTCCTTGTGGGCAGTTTTCCCAGTCACCTTGTGAGTAGAAACCTGTCGATATCATTTGAAACTCTTCTTTTTCTTCTTCTTTTTTTTTTTTTTAAACAACACCCTCTCTTTCTCTTCGCCCTCCCACAGACTTCCCTCCCACTGGGTCCAGGCTCAGAACCGAGACCTCTGTCCCTGGTGCTGCCCGACTAACGAACAGGGATTCCAAGTAGTATAACCCTTGTATGATCCACAACTCAGTGACCTTCCTAGCGTTTCGGGAAGCAGGGTTGTCTGATGTGTGCATTTTTTCTCTTGGTCATATTTTACTTTATTAGTGCCACTCACCTTTTTCAAAGTGACTTTGTACTCATTTAGGGCTTGTCTGAAATGCTTCCATTTTGCCTTTTTCTACAGTTAGGCTAATTTTGAAATGTATGAAATTCTATGCAACATTTATGTTGAGTTACCAATGGAAGCCAAAATTTTCATTCCAAACTGCCAAGAATTACACAGGCCATAAATGAGAAGGGAATACCTTTTAATTTTAAGATTGGGGGCGGGATAGGGGTGGGACGAGAATGAGATTTGCCTATACCTTTGTGGTATCTTGGGAACATTTTTTATTTAATTGTTGATGCTCTAAACTTCAGAATTCTGTGTATTCAAATTTGATCGTGGCGAATCTACTTCAAAAGGAAAAAATAATCCAACTTTGTGGATATTAAATGGAAGGTTTGCTGTTTGATCTAGTTGTTTGCCAGCAGAGCAGTTTATGAAATTTGTTCTATAAGATGTACATTTTTTCATTGTAACATAGAAATTGTAAATAACTGATTAAAGTGCTGCATTTTGCTGAATTTTTTCTAGCCATTTTTAAAGAGAAAACTAGGAATCGAGTATTTTGTGTACGGTATGTTTCCATCCTCCCTCCCCTTCCTCTTTTCCATCCCTCTCTCCCTATTTAATTTTCATTTGTCATGAGGTTTTTGGATTTGCCAATGATCTGCTGGAGATCATGCCCCACGTCATAGAGAATAAAGCTGATGATTGTACCAGTCTTAAATTATTCATGATTCAATAAAATTGATGCTTATTTATTCAGATTAGCGGTTTGGCTTTTCTGTGCTAGAGCAAGTCCTGGTCAATGTCAATTCTTGTTTGGAGGCAACAAACACGTGGGGAGCCCAAAACATCTGCAAACCCGCCTTAGCTACAATGTCATCAATATCCTATGTCCTCTCAGTTTCTCCTCCAAGTTACTGCTACTCAACTCCTTGAGTGGAAATGCACGTCCTGGTTGAGTCGGTCCAGGGTGGGCCTGAGATTCAGGGTCCTCGGGGAGGCCAGTGCTCTGGGCCCTAGATCACACATGGAGTAGCAAGCAGTATCCCCATCCCGCCGGCCTGCCATTTGCCCCCTTGACACAAGAAAGACTTTTTAAAGTGTATTGAGTACCTACTAATCGCCAGATGCTTCCCAAATCTCCCAATGTAATCTGCAAAATGACCCTGAGGAAATAAATACTCATTCACATTTTACAGGTAAAAAAAAACACAGGCTCCGAGAAAAACGGCTTACCCAGGATCCTCTCAGGGAAGATCTTCCAACCCCAAATCCTGCCCCCCTGGGCTGCCTCTAAGGGGCCCCGGTCCGCATTGCAGCGGACATTTATTGCACAGACAGCAAAGGCAGTGGGAGATGACATCACCTCTCAGCATTCACTTCTGACAGCAGCAACAAAAATTTTAAAGGCTTGGTTTGAAGTGAGGCCTGAGGGTTCGCTGTGAAATGGATCCTACACAGCTGGCTCAGCTGCTAATGACGTGAAATATCTAACTCATCGTAATGCGCAGCAATGGCCCAACCAGGAGGGAGAAGAATCCAGATGTTTAGCACAGGCAGTTTTTAATGCCTGTCAAAAAAAATGAAGGGGAGCTCGTACGAAGGTTTAGCAACAAGATGTCCTAAATTCCCAAGGTTTTCTGTATCATGTTCTACCCCATTGCTACACAATATATTGTGATGATAGCTAGGAAATATGGTTGGCATATGTAAAGGGCGTGACAGGCTAGTGGACGTTTTTTGTTTTATTTTTAGAAAATGGAAGAAAAGGAACTGCATTTAAATATTTGCTGTGTGCCAGACACTGAACTGAAAATTTCACCCTATCCCACGTAATCACAACACTTCTAAGCAGTAGATAGTATCTTCATTTTACAGGGAAAAAATGAGATGACTGATATTAAATACCTTGCATGGTAGGAATGGGCTGCTCAGTTTACCTGATTCTAAAGCTCACGCCCTTCCTGCCAGATGATGCTCCTACCAGGAGGTGGGTGGGACATTGAGGAGAGGATCACACATCCCTTCCACATTAGTTGTGTAACGAATGGCCCCAGAAACTTAGCAGTGTAAAGCAACATTTCTCAGACTGTGGATCAGGAATCCAGAGCTGGGTCCTCTGACTCTGGGTTTCTCACAGGCTGCACTGCAATCAACGTGTCTTACCTATTTACAAGGTACACTTAAAAGCAAGAACTTCAGTATATGAAACATATTTAATGGTAAAATGTTTAATATTTTTTCTTTCAAATTAGGATACATGTAAAGGTGCATCCTCTCATCACTTAACATCACAGTAGAGACTACAGTTGGTGCAAAGAAGCAAGAGAATTAAATCATGAGGACTGTAAAGGAAGCAATTAGACTGTTTTTGGGGGGGGGGAAGCAATTAGACTTTTTTCACAGATAATATATACTTAGGTAGCCCAAAAGAATTCACAGATTACTAAAAATTGTAAGTTAAATGAATTCACTGGGTATTAATCAGTGCCCAAAAATCAGTTGAATGTCTACATGCAGCCAAAAGTTTAAAAAATTAAAAATGCCAATTGAAAGGCATCAAAAATATCAGAAGCTAGGAATAAATGCAGTGTGAGATGTACAAGACCTCTTCACAGAAATCTATAAAACATTATTGGGAGAAATTAAAGATGACCCAAAGAAATGGGGGTGTTTATGAATCAGAAGACTCAATGTTATAAAGATGTCACTTCCTCCCAAATGGACTAGATTTGATGCAATCCCACTCAAGACATAGTTTTTATGGAATTAACAAGGTGATTTTAATATGTCTATTGAAATATAAAAATTGAAGCACAGCCAATGAAGAATAAGAAGAGAGATTTTGACCCTGGCCTGGTAGGTAAGTTGGTTAGAGAGTCACCCTAATACGCCAAGGTTGCAGGTTCAATCTCTGGTCAGGTCACATACAAGAAACAGCCAATGAATGTGTAAGTAAGTAGGACAACAAATTGATCTCTCATCAACAAATTTTTTTAAAATTGAAAATATTAAAAAAAGATTTTTCTACCAGATAAAAAGATTTGCTGTAAAGATCATGAAGATAATGTGGTGTTGTGGCAAGAACTGACAAATAGTTCAAGGAATTAGAATATAATAAGCGTTTCCAAATAAACCTAACACATGCTTGCTTTCCTGCATGGGATTATAAATGTCTGGCCAAAGAACCTATTTTATGGAGAAGAAAACTTGACAAAAGACATGACAATGGAATCC